ATTGAAAACTAAACACAGGTTAACTCACAACTGCACTCTTTCTTTATTGGTTTTACAATTCCTTTTACAATAAATATAATATCCTTTTCTACGCTCAAAGGTTCGACCATCATGACAAATCCTTTTCGCGCCAACAATGTTGCCACCGACCATAGATAAAAAAAACATGAAACCATAGACAATTTTTAGTAATTATTGAAATGTTATTTTTAGAAAATATTAATTATTAAAAAAGAAATTACAATTAATGATAAATATAATTATGTGAACATTTTACATGTACACTAAGATGATCAGCTTACAATTGTATATAGAGAAGCATTACAGTAAAGTAGGTTTTTTAGCTACCCAAAATGACTGTGATTATGATCCAAATCTAAAATAAAAATAAGTATATATTTAAAAAAAAAAACGCTGCTCATAGTCACTATTCTACGCGAACGAAGTCGCGGGCACAGCTAGTAAATAAATATAATCCTTACTCCTTACTAATATTATAAATCGGAAAGTGAGTTTGTTTGTTTGTTCCGCTTTCACGCCATAACTACTAAACCGATTGCTTTGAAATTTTGCAGACGTAAAGTTAGAAGTCTGGATTAAATAATAGGGTACTTTTTATCCCGGAAAAATTTGATATTCCCGAGGGAAAACAAAAGAATTGGTAAAGATGGCGCTGTGTGTATTGGTATATGTCACATAGGCTTTTTATCCTTTTGAGACGCGAGCGAAGCTGCGGGTAAAAGCTAGTATAAATATAAATACTTAATAAATAATAATAACAATAGATAAAATACACATCGTATCTGTACTCATGAAGAAAGGTAATGGTCCTTTAGGTAAAGGTAATTTGTCCGTCCAAATTTAGCGTCTCGAATGTTAGGCGGCAGAGAATTCTACAGACTCACAGCATAAACGATGAAGGAATAGGAAGAAGTTAGTTATAATTTTCTTAACTATTCAGCAATTTTGCTATCAAATGCCATTGTAACAGGAAGTGAGGCTATTATATCAGACATCCATTCATAAATTGCATTACGACAATCAAGAACCCCACTATCAACCTGGCCCTACATAGCTAGATACTTGTGATCATTCCACAAACGAGGATAGCCTGTAATAGAGTATTTAGGTACAAATTACCTCTTTTATCAATGGTAATGAAAACGATTTCTATAAATATTGAGGTCAAATGTTCTATTAAATGTCGTGCCATTAATCAGTTTGCTGTATTAATTATTCTTTTGTTTAAAGTAGTTGGTACTTTAGATTATTATTGATGATGGTGATTTTATGAATAAATATTTAGTCTCATTATAAAAGCAAAACAATGTGGGTTAGAATACAATTTTCTCTCATGTGCTATGCTGTGTGTATTATGACATCACGCCTATTCGCAAAGTGGATAGTCTAGGCTAAAAAGAGAGAATTAGATATAGTGGGTTGGGTAGGTACCTCAAATTATGTTTTTATAATAACTATCGTGAGACATACTAAATTAACTAAAATCGCGGGTTACTCACGTGAATATACCAAGAGAAGCTCTACTAGTTTCGAACCACAGAGGGGTTCTTCCTCATGAGCAGCGTGCGCGGTCGCGGCGATGTCGCGCAGCCTACTAGCCATCAGTAGGCTTAATTCGCGATTTTCAGTTAATTTACCTCAAATTACACCAAATTACGTCAGCTACGAAGACTCTCATGTTGCCATATGATGGCAAGTCTATTGTCCATACACCGCTCTCTTTTCTTCTCTTTGTACATCTACAAAGAAATTTTTAAAATTCGAAAACGTTCTGAAAATCGAACCGGCGTTGGTACGGTTGTTGACTAATTGTTCTCATAATCAAACTAATTTATTTTAATGATATATGTTTCAGTGCAAATTATCCTGTGAGCAATCACAGCTGTTCATTTGCCGGGGGTTTACGTGGATATCGAGGGGGAAGGTCAACGGTGGCGGGGAGCGGGGTCTATGCGACCTGCACAGTGAGGACCTCATTACCACCGGCTCCTGGCTGCTGAGGCGAATTTCCTTCGCCACTTATTACCGCAGAGTGGTCTGCTTGAACAGTATGTATCACTTCTTGTTCTTCCAGGCTACTTGCTTGCGGTTAATATCATTAATATAACTCCCAAATCGGCAACCCTTTTCGTTTACGTTTTACGGGGAATCCCTCGATTGTATAAATCTGGTCGTCATTTTTAATTTGTCCTAGCAAGTTGGCAAACCTTTTCGTTCATGTTTCACGGGGAATCCTTAGATTGTATTGTACGTCATTTAATGTTGTTTTGTTGTCGGTATTAGCGTTTATGCAGAAGCACATTGCTGTAGTCGGTGTTATTAAAGTGAGTTCATAGTGTTCATACTGTAATGTCCTCAGAGGGAGATTTGTATCATCAGCTGTTCTTGGCCTATAAAAGCTCTCATGTTGAATTGCTAGCGCAACTGTGTCAAAACGGAACATCCAAGTTTTCGCTACTTCTTGTGAGATTGTCCGTAGATCTGTCACCTTCTAGGCTTCTACAGAAGGATTTAAGCAGATGCCTTAATTATTTCTTTTGCTCATCTGTACAATCCGACCTAAAGAAAAAAGTATGTCCAACCTGTGGGATCTATTTCACATCTCACAAGAGTGTTCAAATGCATTGTCGTTACGTGCATGGCAAGACTGTCCAAGACCATTGTGAAACTAGAGTCCGGCCACAGCGCTTTGTTGCCAGAAGGGCAAATGAGCTTCTCTGCATTGTGCGTCGTTATGAAACATCATTTGAGAATGCTGACTGGCTCGACGAAGGCGAAGTTGATGCAAGTGGCTGTTCTGTATTTCAGATGCCGGTTAGAGAGGGAGAGGGGTACAGAAATATGTTACCTACGGTGCGTTACAGGAAAAAAGGCGACGTGAAATAACACTTGCGTTGTTTCGTCGTGTAATTGAGGTTACCGTAGGCCCAATCAACCCCCTCTCCCCTCTCCAATCTCTCCAATCCCCGAATTTCCAATAATCTTCAAATTTCCAAACCCCCCAAAGACCAGTAACGCACTTATAATACCTCTGGTGTTTCGGGTGCCCATGGGCGACGCCGATAGCTTACCATCAGGTGATCCATCTGCTCGTTTACCGGCTAATTCCATAATTATAATACATATTATAATCTTCTAATAAATAATCCACACCATTATTATCTTCCAATAAATAATCCATACTATTATTATCCAGTTTCCGTAGAATGCGAAAGTACGCACATGGTAGTAACATACCGGCCGCACGGGGTGTTCCGAGGACGGCTGTATGTTCCTGGAAGAGGAGAGAAGTGCAGTGCGCGAGCTGTAGGTCACACTGTGCGACTTAACTTACCCATGCAAGGAGACTGTGACGTTAACTTCGCTTATGGCATCTCAAACGGCCCTAATGGAATCATTAACAGGTAATTTCGATGATTCAACGAGAAAATAAGTACATAGATAGAAGTGACTATACCTTCTAATACTGTTCCGATAGTTGCCTGCTGAATTTGGGCCTCGATCACTGCGCACTGAGTATTAACCTGCCGTGAGTTATGTATATATGTATGTACATAGATCACCACAGATCGTAGTGTTCCTTAAATAAAACATTACTTCTTGTTTCATTTATTAAAGTCTAATTTTATTGATGACGTGTTTCCACTTACCTATGCTAGATTAAGTTAGTCATATTTTTAAATAGATCTAATTCAAACATTCATTTACGTTTATCTATTTGTTAAATGTATGATAATTTAATGCAGGACGATGGCGTACGTGATCGTAATGATTCAGAACAACCCTATCATACAGACGGCGGGTGACCGCTGGGTGCGAGTAGGTTGCTCACCAGACTCAAAGAAAGTAAAGCAGGTTGGCACCACCGTGTCTGTTAGAGAACTCGGGTAAGATAATAATAATTTTTACCCTTCTATTATATATAATGTAATCTAATACCTATGTACTCTACATAGGTATTGTATAGGTAGCGTCATCCTCGCTAATTATACTAGTAGTAGGCACTAATCTGGGCACGCTGTCACAATATTTAAAGATGAACACATTCATTAAAAAAATATTTATACTCTATGGTCATCTCACTGGCAACATCATTGTACTTCTTTGTGCACGACCTGTCACGTCGTACCCTGGAAAATTTTTCAATTTAATTTGGTGATTTTCCTACTAAATGGGTCGAAAACGTCGCAAGCAGATAGGAAAACTGATGGAGTGTATGCAGGAATTGGATAATTGGGCGAAACCGGCGAGAGGACGCATTCGTTGTCGTCAGTTTGGTAAGTTTTTTCTTGTAGGTACTTACACCACATTGTGGGGCGTTTTCCAATAGCTTCCACAAGCAGATAGCCTTGAGAATGATTGTGTACGCAACATACACACTTGAAACGTACCATAAGAGCCCTCAGGAGAGGTGGCCTCACAAGAGCCTTCACGAGAGGTCGGCCGTTGGTTACACGTTTACTATAGATCGAACCACAAGAGCCTTCACGAGAGGTTGGCCGTTGGTTACATGTTTACTATAGATCGAACCACAAGAGCCTTCACGAGAGGTTGGCCGTTGGTTACATGTTTACTGTAGATCGAACCACAAGAGCCTTCACGAGAGGTTGGCCGTTGGTAACTCTACTATAGAATTAACCACAAGAGCTTTCACGAGAGGTTAGCCATTGGTTTACTTGACTTTGGAACGAACCACAAGAGCTTTCACGAGAGGTCAGCCGTTGGTTACTTGACTTTGAAGCAAACCACAAGAGCTTTCACGAGAGGTTAGCCACGGGTTTAAGTCACATTTAGTCAAACATTTCCAACTGCAATCCTAGAGCTTTCACGAGAGGTTAGCCGTGGATCATTTAAACTACCTTGCAGTTAGAAACTTAAAATCAGTTCGCTTTGCCTCAGAAGAACATGAAGCCATTCCAGTTGAAGCCGCTCACCATGGCATGGCACCGAAGCCAATCAACATGAGTTGGAAACTACTCCTATAGTCTCGCTCCAGTCAGTAAATATACTCCGGAGCAATTGCTACCTATGCTTATGGGAAATGGGACATTTCCTTAGCCAGCTATTCCATAGTGTTGCATGTTGGACAAAGCCATTCTTATCAAATGATTACACTTATTTTCCCTTTTCATAATTATTATAACCTAATTCCTCCCAATGTCTCAAATAAATGAGGAGGGGAGGAGGTGCCACTAAATAAAGATGGGATTGAGTGAGACGATAGGATTGTGAATATCAAATGACTCTAGGAGCAGTTACTGTTCGCAAATTAATTAACAAACCTATTAAAGATTTTAAGGATACAGCCAGACTGCTCTGTAAATTATTAACATGTGCCCCTGAATGAAGATCAGAACACAAATAGGTGTTCTAGCTATATATACAGTAATAAATAGTGCTTCAAGACAAGTTTATTGCAAGTAAAGCTATCAGAGAGTCTAAACTTGAATTGGAGAACATCCAAGAAAACCTTTTAGACTACCAACTTCATGCCAACCACATCAACAAACACTGTGTGATGTACAAACAATATGTGTGTGTGTGTGTGTGTGTGTGTGAGCAAAAACCAAAACTAAAGCGAACACATGATTACAAGAAAATCAACAAGGCCGATGCATCCTCTACAGAATTTCTAATTCTACCCACAGCACTGAGGTCCGGATCATCGCTAGTACAGGTAGATCACATTACCTTTCTGAACAATAGAGTTCTGCTTTAGGTTTCCCAACCATACTTAGTTGGATTAATAGGTATAAATTACCATCACTGATATTCCTGTTCAGACAAATATACCACAAAATACCCACATAGGTGTAAAAGCAAAATAATTTTACTTCTGAAGGAAAATTGTTAAAGCTAAGGTGCTGTACTGTACCATATATGTAGATAACTGACTAAGTGATTACTTGCCAGTTTATCTTCACATTCCAGAACAAATGGTCCTTCAGGCAATTAAATAATTAAGGACTATAATAAATTATGTTACTATTAATATAAACAATGGATCTAGAACCATTTCTAAAACTCCTCATATGTTGAAGTGTCTTCAGATGCATGATCAACTTAAGAATGCATTTTATTTAATATCAGTGAAGGAAAATGGTGAATGACAAACATTTGCGGTTCTTATTTGTCTTCCCAAAGAGTAACCTTATACATTGTATAGTATTGATTACACGAAATTATGTTGATGATATTCCTTAATTTTGCAGAACATAAGAAATGTCTAGACTATATTACTAATACAGAACCTTACAGAAGTATTCTTGTAAACTTGGTATAGTATTAAATATTATTTATACTGAAAAGGGTGATTCTTTCAGTATATAGGATTAATTTCTTACTCTAGACAACTCTATATAAGTGCCACTTAAAAAGGTGGATTTTATTACAAGTATAATGAAAATTGTATGACCTAAACAAAAAGTTGCAGATTTTTGATTCCGTTCAACTTTAAAGTTAACATTGTTTGCTCGCCCAGCTATGGAATTTGGCTGGCTCCATGTTAAAATTAGGTTAATAATTGAAATTGTAAGGCCAATATAATAACTATTAAGCGAATACGCACAACAAAATATTCACTGTAAACAATATTTACGTTTGTTTGACATGTTGACATTAAAACATCAGATGTCAAATACGTTCTGTTTTACCAAAAAGAACTTGAACACTTGTTATTTAAGTTAATCTAGAATAAATGTTTACACCTTAAAAGAAAATAAGGCCGGTAAAGAAATACCTAAATAAACTCAGATGTCCCATTCGCACGAGTTTAAATCAAAGTTTGCCTCCAAAACCACTTGGTGTATCACGCCAAAGATCTATAGGCAAACAAGTATAAGAGACTGAAATATATGTATCATGGGTTCCTGACCCTGATATCTTTACTGTTGTTTTCACTATTCAGTAAGTGCAGGAAGATTCTTTTTCCATGCCCTCCTTCTTTTCGGAATTTTAAAAGTCATAAAGAGAAAAAGGGGGGGGGGGTATATGCAAAGGTTATTAGGATCCATTATTGATACCCACGGTTCAACTCAAGTTTCTGAACCTCATTAAGTTCTAGTGTTATCTCTGGTTGTTTCCTTCCAGAAGTTCACCCACTTTACACAACATATACAATGTAGTCACCACCATATAATCAGGAATGAATTCCTAAGAAAAGGAATAGGTACTGCATTCTATGGGAATAATGCTAGCATCACATTGTAAAGTAAAACAAAACAGCAATACGACTTTGCTTTGACTTTTTCAGCATATGTATCCGTTGTGATTATTATATTTTTACTTCTAAATTTACCTATCATACAGTTTATTGAATACTATTAGATAGGTACTTCATTAGTCCTAGGTCCTCTTGTGTGAAATTATTAAGAAACTACCTACAAGATTTTTTAGAAGTGTATACAAATTAAGGCCAAAAAGAAAAAGAAACTTTAATATGTGGTGTGCGGTTCCAGTTTTATTCTAAAATAGGTACATAATTGTGTATTATTACAATTATTATTTAAAACCCTGAGGGTTACTGGTAGAATATGCCACTTGGAATCAAGTTCACCATGTACCGTAACTTTATTGTATTGTGTACATGACAATCTAAATAAATCAATATTATTATGTACCTGTATGTACTCCAATGATAATCTTAGCTTAAAACTTTAGTTTAAAACATCAATTAATTAGCACATATAATTCACACTATCTCTATCACTATAGATTGTACCTAAATGATAATGCCAATAAACCTGAACCATATTTAATAGTACCTACCTACCTACTATTTTTTATTTTTAAGAACAATTTTTAAATCATTGTTCTGGGATCAATCATATTCTACAATTTCAAGTGAATGTATGTCTAGTACTATAACAGTGGACTCTCAACCTCTTCTAAAGCCTCACAGAGATGTATCAATCAGTATCAAAGTCATATATTTAAGTAAGACGACTGCCTGGTCAGTCAATCCATTTTTCCACCAACAATCCTAATATTGCATGAGCTTATTAGCTCTGTATATCACTATGTATGGAGTCATGATCATAATGTAGATCTACTGAAAATGGAGAAGTTAGATAATATATATACAAAAAAAAAAAAAAAAAAAAAAAAGAAACTGATAATTTTGAAGAAAACAACCTATTGAAAGACGTTAAATTTTCGCAATAGACTGAATTTGAACAACGTTATAGTTCAAAACGTACATAGTAGGTGTACCTATAGTTGGTGTAGTGGACACCAGAATTTCAAGATAATAATATTGTTGCTATGCTTACTAAATAATTAAATTAATAAATAAGGAAATTTAATTATTTTTCCATCACAATACATAATGATGTAGATCTTAATATTAATCTTATAATATTGACATAAGCTTGTTTCTTCTCTTCACTTCACTTTGGTTCTACATAGGGTTAATGCAGTTTACCTGACAATGCAATGATGAAAGTCAGGAACCCAAACTAAGATAACCCGTGTTTTGGGCTTCTGTTTATTTTTAATACTATTTTTAAAATGTATTTAATTTTAGAAGTATTTTTATTTGACAAAAATGATTGAAAACAATACCATAACCATAAGTAGCTATTATATCTAATAATGGTTTAGTGGCTTACATCTTGGGGAAATTATAAACGTAATTTGATTATTGCTTAAGTTTTTACTATTTTTTATAGTACTATAAAGTACTCGTGAGATATTGATGTTATTGACAATGTCATATGTCTTGTTTAAGTGCAACAATGTTCAATGATTAAACAGTGTTGTTTGTCAACACAACTCCTTCTTTGAACGTCTACTAGTATAATTAGCGAGGATGACGCTACCTATACAATTAAATAGATCGGACTAACTTACCTGTGACGTCCGATCCTCAATTGTGTAGGTAGCGTCATCCTCGCTAGGTCCCAACCCTTCCCGGATAATAAACATGTTTATTTTTACCCCTGGTCGAGTTGTGTTGCAGTTGCAGGTATGCTTTGAAGTAAATGATGTTGCCAGTGAGATGACCATAGAGTATAAATATTTTTTTGATGAATGTGTTCATCTTTAAATATTGTGACAGCGTGCCCAGATTAGTGCCTACTACTAGTATAATTAGCGAGGATGACGCTACCTACACAATTGAGGATCGGACGTCACAGGTAAGTTAGTCCGATCTATTTAATTAGATTACATTATATGTCGCCACGTTTGTCTCCTATTGAAGTAGTAAGAAGAAATAATGTAATGCCAAGTGACACAATAGGAATGATGACAGGGTATGAAAATTAAAAATCTAATTAGTCCGTCGTAATGAGAAATATTAGACACGTATTTTTTTTATTTTGGCATACAAGAAAACAATACCATCATAGAAGTCCAACGTCCATAGAAACCATCATCACACGATATTTCAAATCAATATATCTTCGAAACTATTCGTTTCCGTAAGAAAATAATTTAAATAATCTACCAGACGGACATTAAAATAAAAATTAGTCATCTACCTACCCTATTCTGGCATACTCACTTATTCGGTTTGCGAGATCAAAGATGGTTGTTCATATCCCTCAAGAAATAGGAAAAAACCGTAAGGTTTTAATGTGTCCTATTTCTTGGCAGTGGTTATAGGAGTCCGGTTACACCGACCGAGCCGGAGTCCCCAGCGCACCTGACCCCGGCAGCAGCGAGTGCAATATACGGCGGCAGTAGCACTCCGGTGTCGATGTACGTGGTGCGGGCGCTCGATGAGACCGGTGCTGGTGCGGTGTCCCTGGGAGAGCCCCTAGAACTGAGGATCGAGACCACAGGTGAATTTTCATGACGATGGATACTTTGATAAATGCGGCTCGTACCTAAATTATACTCGAAAAGGTTTTGTGTGCCAATTCTGCGTCAGATAAAGTAATGTTGGGATTGGGATGGAAGTTCTAATTAATATTAAGAAATCCTTGTGGAGAAGCGAATGAAAGTATTTGTTGCCGTTATATTAACAGAGCATTTAATTTTTTATTTAACGCAGAATAGCAATCTCAAGAATACGTACCCAATAGAGCAACAGAAGCAAAAAAAAAAAATAAATAAATAATGTTGGTTCTATTATTTTAATTAACCTTCAAGCGGGCGCGCGGTCTTTTGTAACGGGAGCGGGCGCGCGTAACCGAATAGACCTATGGGATGAATAAGACCAAGAAAGCAATAATTATGGGATAATCATTTTATTAATTTGTACTAAGATACAATATCATTGTCTTTAAAGAGAAATTTGTCACAACAAGTAATTAAAATTATGAAAAAGAAGCAATTATTAAGTCACCTAAAGTAACTCAAATATTCTTCGGATCAAAATAAAAATTAAGACCCGTTTACATATGTTAGGTTGGTTTATATACGTAGACCAAAAAATAAATAAAAAGTAAGGATAAAAACTCTAAAAACTCATTAATTTTGATTTTATTTTCGTCTGAGTCAGTATTCTAGTCATTTTTTAGATTTTGCTACTTCGTAACTTTATCGCGTCCTGTAAAACAGCTATTTATTTCCGAAAGCTACAAATTATTCTCATCTAAATCCGACAAGGATGATATTTCATCAGATGTTCTTCTAAAACTATGTGATGAGAAGTTTCAGAGCCTTGGTTGCTGAGCTCTGATTCACTCTCTTCTTCGTCATCTCTTTATAATTCCTCGATTACTGTACTTTGCGATAACCATAAACGACTTATTTAAACCAAAAACGCTTTAAAACACCAAAACTCCAAGCAGAATTAGATAATATTGACATGTGTATATCGCGTTGAGCGTCGCGCGTAACCTATTCGACGACAGGCGCGTGTAGTCTTTTCAACGACTGCGCCAGAGCCTAAACAATTGTAATTTGTGGAGTGTAGAGAGCGTTTCAAACAACGAAATAGTTTATATTTTACTCCTAAAAAGATAGTGACAGGCTACTAGAAATTAGAAATGCATGTGGCAACTAAAAATAAAAATACGAACGAAAATGTATTAACCGCGGTCGATTCGACTACGCGCGCCCGCTTGAAGGTTATACGATGACGTTTGAATAAATTGATCGTTCTGTCGTGCGCGACGTAACACAAAAAGTTGGCAATTGTGTAATTTCATGTCTCATTATGCTGTTGTTTGAAGTGACACGCTTGATTGCAGACAATTTGGAAATCAAACCGTATCATCTCGTGGCTTCTTCGAGACTTGGAGACAGTTCTGTACTGCTGCTTGATAGCAGGGGCTGTCCTACTGGACAGGTTAGTGAGAGTACTTCGGGTTGCCTTAATAGGAACCTGTACCAAAAACTGTGCAATCAGGCTGCAAACTGTGTTTTTAGTTAGTAATAGCCTGAAAGCTTCTTTGTGCCTTGCTATGAGCGTAGAATAGATCGCTAAAAATTATTTGGAACTTATTTTAATCGCATCTGAAATGTCTAGGTGGACTTCCCTGCGTTCTCCCGGAGCTGGGTGGGCGACATACAGCGTCTATCGGCGCGATTTAAAGCTTTCCGCTTCCCTACATCACACATTGTAAAATTCGCCATTATGGTCCGCTTCTGTGATCACAAATGTCCAGAGGTGAGTAATGCAAATATTCAGTATCTCAATTAATTATTCTTGCTTTCATTTTTTTATAAAAATGTCTCTTTGTAACAGGTGAAATGCAATTCTGACAAACAAAGCCGTAACATTCGTCAGACAAACGACACATTATACCAGTGGGGTGATGAGGTACCTGCTGAGGTGCAGCCCGAAGAGCTGGAGGGGGGCGAGAATGGGGCGGGAACGAGGCGGGCCCCGGCGGGGACGAGGTCGGCGCCGGCCCGCGTGGTGGCGCGCGGCGCGGCGGCAGGCTGCGCGCCGTCCGGCGGGGACTCGCTGGCCATGACGCTGGAGCTGCTCGTGGACTCCAAGGACATCCTGTCTGCCGACACATTGGTCCGAGCCGACCATCGGGCCACATTGCGTGAGTATTTCTGCGACTTGTCTCGTGCTCGTCATCACTGGTGCGTTTTTGACTACTCATCAAAAATACATATGACGTTCATTCGATTGTACAGTTTTAATTTGTATTGTCATTTGTGTAAGTGTCATTCCTTTAGTGTTCTGTAGATGTAAAGAATCGATCTTAATTTGTTGACAGCGGAAGACGGCAGGCTGAGCGATGATGGTGCCATGGTGTGCGTCCACGAATTACTACTGGTGACACTCGCACTAGCTTGGCTCGCAGTACAGATTATACTTCTACTTGGCTGCTGTGTACTCGTCAAGAGGTAACTACTTACACAAAACGCAACGCACCAAAGAAAGAAAGAGAGCGAGAGGGAGTGTCAGGGTCTTCTTGACTAAAAACTACCCCGTTTCAACTCCTGCTTCGAACTGGAGCCCCGGTAACCCTTGCGGTTGTCCGCAGCTCCTGGTCGGCCATCGGTCCTAATGTTTCAATTATCATTTCACTCTAGACCGTAGAGCAATAATCGAAGATAAATAATTAAGCATATCTTGTCAACTAAAGACAATATGCTACGTAACACCAAGGTACAGATAGCTACTTGTGTAGGTAACTCTAACTTTATTTCCAAGTGGAAAAGCAATATTTTTTTCAATCTAACCCTTAGGGTTTTATTTATTTCACTAAAAATTTGATTGATATTATCTCTTTGTTCTATCGTCATCAGGTCACCAGTAAAGTGACTGACACCTTTGCCCATATCTCTACTAAAAATGTGTTCATTTTTGTATAGGTAAGTTTCGCTTGAACATTTGGTTTTTTGTTATTTAGGTATCGAAATTTGGCCGAAACGAACATGCAGAAAGACTACCAGTCGTTCGATAACGTGGGTTTCGAGACGGGCTCCACTACCAGACGCGTGCACTGGCCGGACCAACACATTGATATACTGCACACCACTTAGAAATACAATATCCTGTACGAATGTGACATTTCATATCACTTTTTATTCAGCAATTGATATTTTAGTACGAATTTATAGCTGTTATCCCAAAAAAATTACGATTTAAGTACTGTAATTCTGTCCTATATAAGAATACTGTAAGTATGAATCGGCTGTTTTTTTAAGTTGGTTTATGAAAAATATAATGTTTTCTTCATAGTTATTGTGATTTTTTTTAGTTGTTGTTATAATAGTTTTTCTACGATTCAGCACTTAACTATAAGAATATTTCTAAATAAATGTGTGTGCGACGACGTCCCAGTTAGTGTGTAAATAGTTTAAGCTGACTGTCATAAATAGCAAACAATTGATTGTAAAGGAAATTGTAAATATATCTATTATATTCTACTTTTTGAAGTTGTTTTTACTTTCTTTGTATCATTTATTTCATTCCAATTTGCCACTACGGGACTTTACTCATGCGGTCTCGACTTTGCGGGTCGTACAAAGTACTAGATATTGAGTTATATCGGTTTTTCGAAAATTCTTCGCAGCATCACGAAGTCGGCAACTAGGTGCGATATAGCCTACGATTTATGATGCCAATACGTTCACCGCTTCGCTCCAAGTTTCAAGTTAGAATTACCCGCTTTTGACCCAGTTATCAAGACCCTTGTCGGTAATACCTATGTATAGACAAGTAGAAGAAAATACAAAATATCTTTCGCAACACTTTATTTACAGGATAATTTGTTTTTTTTCATTTTTCTTTTGTCAGTTTACGACAGTGGTTTCTTAATTACATTCAATCTCAAATTCAATAAACGTAGCAAGTCAGTCAGGTGAACATATCCATATACGGGATTTGGCATTTGGTAAAATATAAATTACAATTCGCATAAAGATGGACACGACCGATGTTTTATACCGCACCTACACAAAGTGTGGAACTAAGTAAATGGGTAAGTAACTAAATATATTCGTATTTATTCTTATTTAGCTAGGTCGGCAGTGTGGGTGGAAGTAGTTCACTGGGTGGCGTTAGGTGATGCGGAGTGTGGTGGCGGGGCTGACAAGGGCGCCGGGGCGGCGGGTGAACGCGAACCGCCCCGCGGCGCCGCCTGCCTTACACTTTGTCTATTCGAGGCCGCGTTGTAATGATACCCGTCGAACTTGTCCGACGCACCGCCAGCTGGTGGGTACGTCGCTGTACCCATGTACATCACCTGCAAATTACAATCTATATAAATAAAAATGAATTTCTGTTCGTTAGTCTCGCTAAAACTCGAGAACGGCTGAACTGATTTGACTAATTTTGGTCTTGATAGGTTCGTGGAAGTCTAGGGAAGGTTTAAAAGGTGAGAAAAAACTTTTAGGCGGTACGAAGTTTGCCGGGTCAGCTAGTCTATCTATATAAATAAAAATGAATTTCTGTTCGTTAGTCTCGCTAAAACTCGAGAACGGCTGAACTGATTTGGCTAATTTTGGTCTTGATAGGTTCGTGGAAGTCTAGGGAAGGTTTAAAAGGTGAGAATAAACTTTTAGGCGGTACGAAGTTTGCCGGGTCAGCTAGTAGATAATATAAAAGAATTTCCTGCAATGTCTACAATGATCATGGTCTTCTATTGAAGAAGTTTATCCATGCGTGAACAGTAACTCAAATGGCCATAAAGGTGGTTACACAAAAGAGTATCTACATCCTGCACGCCTTATAGATTAATTAAAATATATCGTTGGAACTGTGGATTCGGATTGCGACAGAAAGACCTGAATGGTGTCTATCTTCTAGGGATGGGAGCAAAGCAATCAGACACCTAAAACAAGGATAGGATCAGACCTGTGGCTTGTACCCGTCGGGCCCAGCCTCGTACTCGACGAGCTGCATTCTGCCGTCGGGTAGCAGCACGTGGTAGGAACCAGTTGCATGGTCCTCCTTCCTCTTCTCGTTATGTCCGAAGTCCAAGCTAACTCCATTGTCTTGTACGTCATACGAGAAGTCGTAGTTAGCTGGCAACTGAGAACAAATATACTAGGCTATACTTGCAGTTTTATCCATGTTGTTATTACTATCCGGGAGATATAATAAATAGATTGAATAATGTAGCTGAAGATAAAAACCAGTGGCGTGTTGCTATTATTGGATAGGCCTACGAGGCCGGAGCAGGCCCGGCCGCCCGAGCTGATGATTAGGTATGATGAATACAGACTCACCGTCGGTTCCTGTATAGGTTTCTTAGGACCTCCGATCTTGGGTGGTAAATATTCTTGTGCATACGCATTTGACCAAAGCGACACCAGTAAAGTAACCTGGAAATGTATTTATTTCAGTTATTATTTTTCTACAAACCTAAGTTTTTTTACCATCTTCAACAGACTCACACAAATAATACGCCACATTTTAATAATATACGCGTGTTTCTTATTCGAGTACACTGGGTGGTTTTGGGAGATTCAAGCAAAAGTACGATGTTTATAAACCAACGGGACTGCGGTTGCGGCAACTCCGCCCACTGGCATTTTTTCATTAGCAAAGTGCACGATCCACGAAAATTTCGAAATGAATTTAAATGGCTTAGTTCACGCCAGTACTTAATGAGTACTCTATTTACGCATCTGCCAACATCAGTCGTGGTTACACTTTATAGGTACTTTTGTACAATGTAAAATAATTTCATTTTATTTCTAACGTACCTTAGAGTTCTTACTCTTGTGGAGTTAGGTATCTGCCTCGGTAGTAGTACGTATAATATTCTATTACTATTTCTAGTTTTTTAATGCAATGCTAATTATAAGTGTGGGTGAGCCATCCTTCGGCACGAATGGGCCGGCTCAACCGGAGTAATACCACGGCCTACAGAAAACCGACGTGAAATACCATCAAGTGATCCCTCTGCTCGTTTACCGGCTCAAGTATCCCATAAAAAAATACATGTAAGTTTTACCTAACGCTTTTAAAAATTACCTCGATGGTCTTTTATTCATATTCACTAGAAGGAAACCAGTGATAATATTTTTTTTTATTTCTCAATCGCTAGTTGTTATGTGAAAAAAACCAATTAATGAACCCTAAACCTCAATCGATGTAGGTAAATATTATTGATAGAGAACGCATGTGCCTATGTGAATTTTAACCTAAAATAAATGAGTCATACGCAAAGAGATAAGTAGTAGAAACGGAAATAATGCACGAAAATATTACCGTTAATTTTTATTTATAATCTATATAGTATTTGGGGTTAAATACTCGTTATAATCCTAATAAAAAAGGAACAATGTTTTCAAGGACAAATATACAACGTTTTGTTACACGGTTATAATACTTTTTTTTATTGAATAATATTTTTTTTTTTAATAAAATTCGTGTTCACCTGACAGTTCACAGTGACATTAATAAATTTGACAATCTTGACAAAAAATCAAGAAGGGAGAACACGCTGAAACGAAGACTTCTCTGATAAATTATTATGAAATTGATAACGCTAAGGTTCTGAATTAAATAATTACTAAGTGCCCCTAAAAATGAACTCTGTGCTAAGAATTAGGTGTGGTGCGTTATGTCGTGCGTTCAGTACTTCGATTGTAAAGAAATGTGCCGTGCCCCCGGTTCCACCCAAGAAACCTAGGAAGATAACTTCAGCAATAACATGGAAATCCATGACTGCGACTGCACTAATCGGCGGTGGGCTGACTGCGTTCATGATTTATCTTAGACATGAGAAGCAGGAAGCTATTGACCGTGAGAGGAAACGGCAAATAGGAAAGGCTAAGATTGGAGGTCAATTTGAATTGATTAACACAGAGGTAGGTTCTATGAGCTGGTTGATTCTTCCCTATCTCACTACAAATCTAAGAGGTATTAATTTAATTACGTGAAGCAGAGAGGATGACAGAGAGGTACCAGCTCTTCCTTGAAAGGGACCTCTGTATCTATAGGGTATTGCTAATAAAATTATAGCAGTATTCATTGGTTTCATGATAATTTAATATCAAATTAAAGGTTCTCTGAAGTCGTGTTAAAAACATTTGTTTGTATGCGAGCTCTTATATTCTTATTGTGTAGTTCTAAGAAAATTTAATGGAATTATTTCAGGGAAAGTTAGTAAAGAATACAGACTTCTTGGGGAAATGGCTTCTAATATATTTTGGATTCACTCATTGTCCTGATGTATGTCCCGATGAGCTGGAGAAGTTAGCTGAAGTTGTCAACATGCATGGTAAATATATAATCACATAATATATAATCACACATAAGATTATGCTATTATTCAACTGTTTGTGTAATATGGTGAGGTAATAATTAACTTGTCGAGTACTGTCATTATAGACACAATTATAGAGCAATAGGTTGCGGTCACCGGTGACCGCTTGGTGTTTGACAGTTTAATATAGAATTTCCAATTTTAACTTGCAGATAGTGACCCCAAACTGCCTCCTGTGCAACCTCTGTTTATATCTGTGGATCCTCAAAGGGACACACCTGAAGTAGTTGGGAAGTAAGTTACCACTGTTTTCTTTTATTTATGTCAGACAGAAAACTAATTAAAAAAAAATTATTTATGATTATTTTAAACATAGATAAGGAAGTCTAGCTACCTTTCTTGAATCTCATACCTTTTTAATCTGTCCAAGGTACTGCAAAGAGTTCTCTCCACGTTTCTTGGGTCTGACGGGAACAAAGGACCAAGTGCAACAGGCTTGCAAGTCATACAGGGTGTACTTCAGTGCGGGCCCCCAGGATGTTGACAATGATTACATTGTGAGTATGGGAATTTTCATTTTGAAGTAAGCAATTGGGTTTAGAGAATACACAATTAGGATATCAAAACCATTAAAAATATAGAAGTCAAATGAGTATGTAAGAATTTTACTAAATTACAGTAGGCTGTAAGACAGTGAGAGCAATCAGTTATTGTGGTGTCAGTGACAACCAGTGGTGTGGGCATTTTTCTTTTGATGGATTTAAAAGATTTTTAACAAGTATGTAACATGATTTTATTAAGGAAGTACAGATGCTGTTCCCCGTAGCTGTTTATTTGCCATAATCACCCTTTGATTATTATATACATACTGACTACACCTTTCATTACAGGTGGACCATACCATTATTATTTACCTGGTAAATCCTGATGGTGAGTTTGTCGATTACTATGGTCAAAACAGGAATGCTAAAGAGATCCACAGCTCAATGCTTGTGAACATCAAGAAATATGAAGATTCTAAGAAAACGTCTTGGTTCTAGACATTAAGAACGCATTTATGTAGTGAGATAAATAGTTCCAAAGTATTTTTATTTAAGTAAAATAAAATTTATTGTTGCTTATAAATTTTGGTTTTATTTATTATTTCCTATTTACAAAATGATGGTTTTGGTAAATAATGAAGATTATAAAAATTAAATTTTTATTCATAAAATAATTACTTAAATCTTCTATCTATTTAACAGCAAAATGACAACGGTGTTCCAAGGGGTACACAGAAAAGTATGTTCAAAGATATTAATATTGATACAGATGAAATTAAGTGTGGAACGGAATGATGGTTCTTGCAATAGAAGTACGAAAGTAGATTAGATAAATGCATTCCAAATGCGTTCCTTGAAAAAATATATATCGTATCATAGAGCACTTAGTAAATTCTGTCTACCACATAAAAAAATATAGTCTGAATGAAATAAATTAAAAATTGCACAAAAAAACATAGAAAAATGCTTTACAATAAGTTAGTTGTCATTTTACTAGTTATTTTACTAATAGTGATTTGTGCGCCGGCGCTATGTATTTGCATTAATCTTTGGTCTAATTGGTATAATTTCACAGTGGCTCCCTCTAGGCTGGTGGTAGAAATACTCATTCCGCCTTCGTTTACCGTCACTAAATCCATATCAGAGGTGTAAGGTCTATCATCGATGATATTAATGTTGCTAGTGTTGAGGCACACATTTTCAGTTTCATATTTCGTATTGTTTTGAGAATTATCAATGACTAGAAGGTCGCCTTTCATTCCGCTGTTATCTTCCAGCACCAACTCTTCAGTCAATTCCAGCGGTACTTTCTGTATGATATTGACAGTCAATCCGTCCAAATCACCTTGTGATTTATCGGACTCAATATTTTCATTAACTGTTGCCAGTTTAGTATTGTTCTTGTTGAATACTCCATCGTCAGTAACAGTAACGGGCTGAATGTTTTGTAAAATAACAAGTCCACGATTTTCTCCTCTCTTCTTTTTCGTTTGGTGGGTTTTAAAGTGTTTCATTTGTTGAGATTTCGTTGCGAATTTTAGTGAACACATGGAACAGTCGAACGGTTTTTCTCCTGAAAGATAAAGAGGCTGGGTAAAATGGTGGTCACAATGGCCACGATGATATAGATACTAACAAAATGGCACTGACCAGTGTGAACACGGTGATGGTCCCTGAGCCGGGCCGAGTTGATAAACTTCTTGGAACAGAAGCTGCACTGGTGCGGTCGCTCGCCCGTGTGTTTCCTCATGTGCGCGCTCAGGTTCTTACGCGTGAACCTGTAACACCGACATACTCAAGTAACCTGACTTTATTGATATTTTAAATCTCTGTGTGACGTTTTTGTATCAAATATATGGGCTTCTACGTCAGCAAGTCATAAAAACTGATCAGAATTACTATTACTAAATAACTTTAAAAAATATAGATATCCTACACAGGTATACCTTCCCTCTTACCGTTTGCCACAAACATTACAGCTGTATGGTTTCTCCCCAGTATGTATCCGTTCATGGCTTTTAAGTGAGGAGCCCGATGTGAACTTGCGATCACATATCGAACACGAGTATGGCCGCTCGCCTTAAAAATAAAAAGAATAGGCGTATGATATATGCTTTAAACTTACTTTTTATAGTATTATAGATGATAAAGAGGTAAAATATGTTTATTCTATTGAAAAATCCTAATCAATTGTAACTTTATCATTGTATACAATTAAGTTCAATTTTGCTTACCAGTATGTGTCCTCATATGCAGCGTCAGGTTAGAGTTTTGTATGAAACTCTTCCCGCATACCGAGCACACGTATGGTTTCTCGCCCGTGTGGGTGCGGTGGTGAGTGTTGCGGGTCGACTCGTGTCGGAAACTGACGACAAAGTAAAGAAAAACCTTAGTTCAAATCAAACATATCCTAAAAATGTTAGGACACTTTGAAAAAAGTATTGAATACCTCTGGGAACATACTTGTTTTGTGGTAAAACACACTTTTAGGTCTTAATACAATATTTATATTTAATATTTCACCATAGAACAGTTACCGTTTATCACAATACTGGCAGGCGTACGGCTTGCGGTCGGAGTGTATGAGACGGTGCGAGGCGAGAAGTCTGTTGGACGGGAACGTCTTCCCGCACACGTCGCACTCCCAGGGCCGGAGCCCGATGTGGCGGGACATGTGCGCTGCCAGCAGGCCACTCTCACTGTACCTGGAACGTTTTATTAATATTTTAAACCGTTTTCCCCGTGAGACAACCATGCTTCGGCACGAATGCGTCGGTTCGACCAGAGTGGTCATAGGAAACATGTCGAAAAATTAATGTTTGCGGTGCCGTTGTGATGTTGGTCACTGTGTGAGTGAATATATCGGAGGCTCAATTACTCCCTGCCCCGTCTAAAGGCCGGTATCGCAACTTTTACTCCTTTGTTTTTATAAGCGAAGCTGATTGCTTACTATCATAATCTCTGTTCCCCCTATCCCATAAAAAGACAATGTTCAGTAGCTAACAATATGTTACAAACCTCTTATCGCACATGGTGCAGGCGTGTTTCTTCTCAATGAGTTCTCCAGTGTGGACCCTCGCGTGTCGCTTCAGTGCATAGAGCTCGCTGAATGCTTTGTCACACACGGGGCACGTGTAGCGCTTCGACTCCATATGCCGTAATATGTGACGTCTGAATACTGATCGGGCTGGAATATCGTAACAAATAATTTACTGCATATAATAATGTGATTTTTTTATGTGATGATAGTTATTCTCCTTTCTAGGATCTTCTTTCTTTCCTCTTTTTTCGATTTTTGGATTTACTGGGATTGTTAAAAATCGAAAAGAGTAACTTCAATGACTAATAGGATACCCAAGTCCAATAAAAGTTCAAAATTACTTATACCTACATTACTTAGAAAGTTCGGACAGATGTATAAAGGGTATGTTACTTGTAGAAAACTTGAATTAATTTTAATTAGTGTTATAGGTACACTCTACTTGACACTATCTATCCAATTGATGTAGGTAGGTATACGGATAACTTACCCTTAAATTCTTTAGGGCACTTGTTGCACTTCCAGTTGCCCCCCTTGTTGTGTAGGGAAGTATGTACAGCGAGGTCGTGCTCGGAGTCGAATGACTCGGTACATTGGTTGCACGCGTGCGCTCTACGAGTCGTCGGGTGCTTCATCCTCATGTGAGCATGGAATGTCTTTACATTTTTAAACACCTGCAATTGGATTGAATAATGATTTTTCTTTCCTCAGATATTTTTAAAGAGGATTTTTTAGATAGTATCTGAATTAGTACTATTTATGGATGGAAATGTTTGAAAAAGAAAAAAATGCTCTACCTTAGAACACATTTTACATGAAAACGTATTTTCCTTGTTTCCACGTTTTCTGTGCTTTTTAGTTGCAGTACTCTCAAATTCTGAAATATTCAAAAAATATTAGAAGAATATTTAGGCTTCTATAATTGTTACAACTGGATATAAAGTTAAATAAACCTACCAACATCATTATCATAAATTCCTTTTTTTCTGAAATAAGAAAAACACATTATTTTAATTAGTCAGTGATCTATGGTTATATTATTAACTTTCGTGAGACATACTAAATTAATTATTATGTTTTTCGGTGTCATAGTCAAGTACCAAATTATTTGACGAGGGACTCGACTAGTTTCAAGCCATGCTAGCGGCTCATTTTCATGAGCAACATTTCGCGACTCGCGACGCAGTGAATTACGTGAGTAAGCCGATAAACATAATAATTAAGTCAGACTATGGGTTGAGAATTAGGATGACCAGAAATAAATAGTATGATACTCTAATAAGGAATAACAAATGAGGACTGTGGAACACACTTGGAACTCACCTTCTCCTTCTCTTTTTATCTTGTACTATATACAGGTTATCATTATCACTGAGATCTTCCAAATATTGCACATCTGAGAAAAATAACAAAATCTGTTTAAAGTTGCATTATATAAATAAGCATGCCAAATCCCTTTATAGAAAGCAAGTAAGTCAAACATTTTTAAAAATGTGACACTACAAAAAAGGTTTCTATCACAAGAAAATAGAGTTGCTTTTATAAAAACAAAATTACCTTCAAGAAGTTCCTTTTCATTCTTGATATCAATGTTATTATTAAAATATTCACTGCCATCAATATTATTTTGTAAATTATTCATATTATTATTTTCCACATTTTCTTCTTTTATTTCCCTAAAAACAAAATATCATTGTTCAATACTATTTACTAAAAACATCATCAAATGTTTTGATTCCTCAAAGTAGGTCATTTTCAATGTATCATCTACTATTCAACAGTTAAAAGTATAATTTCAAAATCTATGCTCCATATTATTGCAGTCTGGATGTATCTCGGCTGGAATAGACTTTGTTGTAACAATATGAGTACATAACATCACGCCTTAGATCCCTGAAGGGGAGACAACAACATTACGGTATTTAATGCCACTGTACTTACAATTTAACATCCACTTTTCACCATTTATGTTATGAGTACCATGTATTGGGGGGTGAGCCTATTGCCATATACCAGGCACAGTTTCAGACTCTGTAATACTACTGAGAATATTTGTTGAAAAACCTTTGCCCGATCCGGGAATCGAATCCGAGACCCCTTACATAGCAGTCACACTTGCAACCACTTGGCTTACAAGGCAGTTGAGTATTAACTAAATTAATAATATGCAATTGGGGAAATAACAGTGAATCTGTTACAGATACCTTTTTATTTGATTTGTCTATTAAGAACCATGTAGGTATAATGTAAGTATTAAGTGGAATTTTAAGATTAAAAATACGTACATGTCTTGAATAGGTACATCCTCTTTGGTTACAAATTCTCCTTTCAGCAGTGACTTGAGCATGCAGTCTGACTTTTCACACTTTATCTTGAACTCGTAGCATTGTACCACTAAAGCTTGACATGGCTCACATATACTTGCAGGTAGACCATCACCGGTAAAAACCTGAGAGGAAAAAATGTATAGGCAGCTATAATACAAATATTATAGGTATTATGCATGTTTCCTTTAATCCTACGTACATACACATATCATTACACCTTTTATCCTCGAAGGGGTAGGTAGAGATGCATGTTACAACACTTAAAGCCACTGTACCGACACCCACTTTTCACTATTTATGTTACCAGTCCCATGTAATAGGGGGCGAACCTATTTCCATATACCGGGCACAATTCCAGACTCTGTGCTACCACTGTTAATTTTTTAAAAACCTTGTAGTAGTTTGCACAACCTGGGATTCGAACCCAAGACCCCTTACCAGGCTGTTGCGCTTGCGACCACTCGGCCAATGAGGCAGACTTTTGACGTTACTTTTACTAATATTATGTTTGAGTTGTGTGAATATCTGGTACTCAATCATGTTAAAATGGCTAATCTAAAGGTATTCCTTGGAACATATATAGATTATGGTATGGCATAACACAAGATACTTTTACCCGCCTATGGCGAAGGTATCAGCTTGAAGGCAGCACCAGCTGGCAGAAGCTAGTTATTAAAATGATAAAAGATTTTAATTTATCCTAATAACGTTGTTTACTAAACAGTTTGTTCTGTGTATGTACAGACACAAGAGTGTACAATAAAGGATATTCTATGATACTCTTAAGTAACCATGTCAGTGTATATCCTTAGAACTAAGATTTACCTGAATCGCGCTAAATGTAGTGTACATATGAGCTAGTAAATTGTTTTCTTTGGTAGTTACAGTAGAAACTAAAGGATATAGGATCTCGTTCTCTGTATTCAGACATATTCGGCACATATTCTGTATATTACAATTGTCTGAACTAAGATATTGATATAAATTAAATGGTATTTCAATTTCTATGTAGTTTTCTCCGACAATTTTCTCTTCTTCATCGTTTTTCACAATTTGCTCAATTGCATTTTCGGAATCCATTTTCGGTTGTATAGCTATATTATTGTTTTGTTTTAGAGCGTGTAAACGATCCAAGTGGTTCTATACTTGGTTTTCTAATTCAATGTAATCATGATGTTTAATTTTCCCCGCACAAACGCGTATTTCGCTCATTTATATTATCTTTACAGCTTGCTTGGCTTGGCTTACTTGAATAACAAATTATCACTTGTCAGACGCAGTTGACATTGACAAACTGTCACAAAATGACAATGACCAATGACATTTTGAAGCTATCGATGAATTTAATGTTTGGGTTACTCTCTTTTTTCGTTTGCCAAAGAAGAGAGAGAGAAAAAAAATACTCTCTTTTTATCAGTTGGGCTCGAAGGGAATGTCGGTTGAAATGTTGAAAGAGCCATATTTTCTACTTTCCATACTTGGGCACAATGATAAATCTCACTATGTTCTCAATAACAAACGATCTTATTTTTCTGGAGCCTGGAGAATAGGCTGCTTATGCTGTGTGCATAAAAATTACGAACTTTGGTTGAATCCTGAAGATTGGGAATCGAACTTTTTAAATGACACTCGCGTTTACGTCTACTTACCCAATCAGGCATTACTTACTTAAACTTAATGAACGATTATTATTAACTAGAAGTCCAATGAACAAAACCTTCTTATTGGAATTGTACCCACAATCGCCATACTCGGTAGACTGACTGCGGATTACAAATCAGACGACGGTGTACAATGTTGGTGCGTTCTAGGTCTCATAAGCATGTGCGTTGCTAGGAACCTAAATCATACCCTAATTAATTCATTTGATTGAACCATTCCCGATGGTAAAAATTAGTAGGTAGTTCTAGAACTTGCACTGATACTGATACTGATATTAAAATGGTATTTACAACTTGATAGGAAGAAATGATACAAATTAATTATACATATCTTAAGTTTTTTTTTTAAGGGGGGAAAATCATCGAATGACTGCTCCCGCCTGGATGAGGCGGGAGGGTGTGTCAGACTCTTACTGACTAAAAACCACCCCGTTCCTTCTCCTGCACGTCGAGCCGGAGCCCCGGTTACCCGTTAGGTTCTCCGCGACTCCGAATCGGCATCGGCCCTATTGGGCCCCATCTGTGGTGGTCTGATGGCTCTTTGAGTCACGCGTCCCGCCTCCTCCTTAGCTAGCATGACTGCTTCGCAAAAGGAGGAGACGGCATCCCAGTCCCCCTCGCTCCGTATCATGGCCCGCACTAGGCCCGGACGCGAGAGGTCGCCATCGCCGATCACTTCCTTGAGGGCACGGCGGTGCTCAGCCCACGCAGGACATTCTCTCACCGTGTGTTCCACCGTGTCCTCAGGGCGGTCCTCGCAGTGATACATATCTTAAGTTTAAGAGTAGAAGACAGACAGACCGATGGAAGAATTAAAATTATTAGGTATGCATTTCTTATCGGGTTTGTTCTATTTCGATAGGTCCGTCCGCAATAAACACAACCCAATTGTTTTATAACAGAACGTTTGCTTGTTTTAGTTTCATTATTGATGAGCCAATCTAGATTGACAACTGACCGACTATTGTTGGAGTTTAATCTACACTCGATTCCCTGTAAACTTCCACGGACATGGAGAAATTCCGCTTTACAACAAACGGATACATAAATATCGTGTTTTATTTGACACTTTTAACCATCATAACCATTTAACAGTGCTGCCTTATTTCTAAAAGTGGAAAATAAATATGCTAAGATAAAAGCGTGGAATATTTTTTTAGAGTCTCGTTATATTTTTTAAACCTTTAGACTCGTAATTGACCAATATTTTTTAGTTAAATTGTTAATCAAAGTTTTCTCCATAGTAACTGATCAGAGTTAATATGATTCGGCCAATGTAATTTGTTATTTAATTACATACTGTAACATATTAGTCGTTATATGGGCGTGTTCTTTCATAGTTGCCTACATGAGAAAATTATCTATAACGAATGTTGGTATCTGAAATGTTTATATTTTGTTTATCAAGTTTTTTCAGCAAACGGGCACGCGTCTCTTGAATGAATGAATTATGTAGGCAATTTGAAAGAAAACATTGCGTTTACTACACAATTTATTTCAAGTACAAACTTAATACAATTTCTTTTTCATATCCCTGCAATAATATCCTTTATAAATAATCTTTAAACTACCTAGATAATAAACAAGGTAAGTATTTAAAATTGTCAATAATATTTGTTAATTTGTCCATTAAATAAGATGGTATGATGGTATTCCGATTTCACGAAAATTACCAAATTATCTAGGGTAAGTTCCAAGCGTACGGCGCGTCGCGTTCCGCGAGCACCTCAAAGAGCCATCAGATCACCACGTATGGGGCCCAATAAGGCTGAAATCCGACACGGAGCCGCGGAGGACGAAGTGCAGGAATAGAAACGGGGTGGTTTTAAGTCAGTAAGAGTCTGCAAATCCGGGAGAAGTAATTCAACGATTATCCCCCCTTAAAAATATCTAGAGTAAGTGGTTAATGGACAGGTCACATTATTGTATCATTCTACAGAAGTATACAACAGACATAAATAAAACCTAATCCCAAATGCTACTCAGAGTACCGTCCTATCTCCATCCTACCATTCCTCTCAAAGGTCCTGGAACGTCTTGTACATAACCAGTTAAACTCCTACCTTCTCCGTCATCAACTCCTAAATCCATTCCAATCCGGTTTTCGTCGAGGCCATAGCACTACAACAGCACTTGTACATATTGCTGATGACATAAGACTTGGCATGGAGAATGGAAATCTGACTGTGCTCTCCCTACTTGATTTCAGTAACGCATTCAACACTGTCGATTTCGATGTCCTTCTCGGTATTCTGCGCTCCCTTAACATATCTCCAGCGGTAAACGATTGGCTTCAGAGTTACCTGTGTGGCCGTCGACAGCGTGTCCGAGTGGACACAAATTTCTCGACTTGGCGTAGTACTGCTGCTGGCGTGCCGCAGGGTGGCGTCTTATCTCCTCTTCTTTTCGCAACTTTTATTAATTCCATCTCTGACCAACTTCTATCTTCCTACCACCTTTATGCAGATGATTTGCAGATTTACGCGCAGGCACCGCTCGAAGAACTCTTGGAAGCAGTCAAAATGATAAATGCCGACCTGACTTCAATATCCAACTGGAGCTCGACTTACGGGTTAAAAGTGAATCCAGCAAAGACTCAGCTCATTGTTATCGGCAGCCCCAGACAGATAGCTAGAATTAACTGGACGCATATTCCACCGGTCACGTTTGATGGAACTACAATCCCGTACAGTAAATTTGTCAAAAATCTGGGTATTCTCTTTGACAGCACTTTGTCCTGGGCTCCACAGATTCAAGAACTGAGTCGCAAAATCTTTGCATCGGCGGCGTCCTTAAGAAGACTTCGCAATTTTTTACCAATCGCCACTAAAACTGCGCTTGCTCAATCTCTCCTTCTTCCCATCTTGGACTACGCTGATGCCTGCTACCTTGATCTAACAGAGGCACAACTGGACAAACTTGAGCGTCTCCAAAATTTCTGTATAAGATTCATATTTGGCTTGCGCAAATATGACCATGTCTCGGAATTCCGTAACAAGCTCAAGTGGCTTCCTATCCGTCTTCGCCGGAATACGCATATCCTGTCACTTCTTTACAGTATTCTGTACAATCCTGCTACGCCCTCTTATCTCAAAGAACGTTTTAAGTTCCTTCATGACGCACATTCAAGACACTTGAGGTCTACTGCGAATTTGAGATTGGAGATGCCAACACATACGACTGCCTTTTATGACAAATCCTTTGTTGTAGGAGCCATTCGACTGTGGAACGCACTTCCATTATCAATAAGACGGGCGCAATCTTTGGATTCGTTTAAAAGACAAGTAAAAGATCATTATCTAACACAGATTCAATAGAGTAACTGCTACCGCATATCCGTATGTATGTATGTATGTATGTATCTGATTTTGTGTATGTATGTGTATGCGTATAATACGTGGAGCGATAAGGCCGCCCATTGTACAACATGCCAAAACTATTTTTTTTTTACCTACCTACTATTTTCTTGTTCGTGTCTTTTGTAAGTGGTGTACAATAAAGTGTTTATTATTATTATTATAAATAAAACTATAATGAAGGTTGGGATTTTTAATAGAGCTTTAGCTTGTTAAAACCCTATTAAAATTTCGTTTATATTAATTTCAAGAAATTAATTAATTAAATGGAGAATATGCATGAGTTTTTAAGACCCTGTCTGTTCAGGAGAAATTTCGCTGTATCTAATTATCTATACTTTGGGATTGGGCGTTACATGCATATATGTGCATATTGTCTATGCCTATCCCTTTGCAGCAATATAAGGCGTACCTATATTTCAAATATGCGAGTATTTATAATATGTTATTGAAATTTCTCCTAAGATATTGTATCTACGAGAGAACGTTGTTATTTGTTGCGGTCAACAACATCTATTTGGGGGTGAAAGGTCTCCTCTATCCTAGAAGATAATTTCTTGATGTGTGCATGCTTAATGTATGTACCTATCTACATACCTATGTTTTCATATATTTTTGTGAATCTATGTGACTGGTTATATTAAAAAACTGTAAGAAATGAATCATTCATATTTTGGCATTGTAATCAGTACCTGGGTTTTCTCAATTCCAACATTCCTTCAGCTGCAGCTGCCTAAAATACGATAAACAATCCGAGTTTTCTATTTGGCAAAATTATTGCACTCTGATAGATTATAACAAATTATATGATATAAAGTAATAGGTTAAATGTTAGGCAAGTCAGATATTTAAATATGAATACAACACTACACTTTAATATTCCTGAATTTTTTAGGGTAATAACGCACCTTATGTGCTTACATTGAAGTTAAGGTCGGGCAGCATGGCTCTCTGATAAATCTGAACCAATTACCTGTGATCTCTAACCTTTAAGCATGGATATTATGACAAAGTTTTATGTAGAGATTGATCTAGCGAACCGTCACAGGTTGTTGGTATGATGATGATTGTAAGCTCTGTCACGACAGGTCTGTCTTTGTTGATCCTAGTAGATAAGACTAAAACAATATTGAAACTGTCATAAGTAGATGGAAAAATTTGCAACATCAATTTATTGGCGTAGGTGTAATTATTTTGTTTCAAAGACGTATTTTGACCTCCGAGATAAGGGTGACCTGAAGGCGGAGATAATGCGTGTGGAACTATCGCGAGCGGGCGGGCCAGAGGCGGGATCGCGATACAAGCGCCCGCGCATCTCATACTCAAGTTGCTCACCCAAGAGGCTGGACCGTCGTGCGATTAATCGCTGCTGCTCTAGTCTCTACCAATATGTTCATTGGCGTCACCTCAAGTGGAGACAACGTGAATTCTCATTACGACTACCTGATTTGAACGCCGGAGGTAAGTACATCTAACTCTGCTAGCAGATATTGAACTTACAGAAGGTCACCCCAAAAGTTTATGTAAATAAGTGATTACCGATAGATACGAGTCGTAATCTTCTCCAGAATAGCTATTCAGCGTACTGACCCAGACGGCGACTATCATTCATGTAATAAACCTATGATTAAAAAAATACAATATAGATTTATATTTTAGCTTCCTCAGGTGGAAAATATATTTTATAATACTGTGTTATAAAGTTCCTATTGTAAGATGTATTCAATTTGTTGCAGGCACATCTAGTGAAAGAAATTTTGTACGCTTACAAATATGGCGCTAGATTTCGTAGCTGGATGTATAGGGGGTAAGATGAACATGTTATATATTATCTCTATTTTATATTGGTTTTGAAAACTGTTATTGGTGTACTAACGCACGGTACTATTTTCAGGTTGTGCGGGAATCATTGCTAGTCATCCTTTTGATACATTGAAAGTGCATATACAGGCGGGCAGAGGTAGCGCGCTGCAATGCACTAAAGCTCTTTTGAAAGGAGGAACATTGTCGAGTGCCTACCGTGGAGTAGGTGCTCCCTTAGGCGGTATAGCAGCTGTTAATGCTATAGTCTTTGGAGTATACGGAAACACACGACGGGCGCTGCCTAATCCTAATGCTCTGAGCACGCATGCGGCAGCAGGGGCAGCCGCGGGCCTAATGCAAAGCTTCGCTTGTGCTCCTATCGAGTTAATTAAGACACGACAACAGTTAGCAAAACCTGGAGATGGGATGCCGTCCGGAGCGTGGGCCGGAGCGCGTCACATCGTACGCACTGGAGGCTTCAGAGCGCTTTTCCGTGGACTCGGTGTGACAATAGTTCGTGACAGCCCTGGGCTTGCGATTTATTTCACCTCTTACGAGGCCATGACCCGAGGAGATCAATCTGTGATGAAAGTGTTTTTGGCGGGAGGTGCGGCGGGAGCCCTATCGTGGGTGGTATTATATCCTATTGATGTGGTGAAGTCGAGGTTTCAAGGAGATTTAGTGGGGAAATACGCAAGTTCATGGGACTGCTTCGTGCAGTCAGTTCGGACTGATGGCTGGAAGAGTATGGGTAGAGGTGTGGGAGCAGTTACACTGCGCGCGTTCATTAGCAATGGTGCTTGTTTCACCGCTGTCGCCTGGACAGAGCGCGTGTGGCAACGTATGGCTGCTGAGCAGGGTGTGAAAACTTTCGCTCAGACCAATGCCATGAGTGAGGCAGTTTGTGAGAACAACGACCGACAATATGATGTGTAATCAAGGTTCGAATTAAGCTGTAAGCTTTCCTTATCTTTACTTTTATTCAGAAAAGAAGGATTTGTATGTACATGACGGAGACAAAGATAAAATGATGTATTCTTATTATTTGTTTGTTTTTTTTTAATGTCCCATGATTGAATACATTCCGTGTACCTTCAATCCCGAGCTTTATAAAGTTTACAGATAAACCTATGAATTTTAGCTGTTATCAATTCGTGTCCATGTGATTTGTTTGTGACTAAGATAACAAAAACTACTTATCATCGTAAAGATACGACTGCTCAAAAATGTATGCATATGATTAATTGCTTGAATAAAGTAGATTTTAACGTTGAAAAATAAGTCGTATCGTAGACAATTCGTACCTGGCCGTAGCAAGGTGCTACGAATTTGTAAATTGGCTACGAAACGCTACGAAAGTTAGCGTCGTTCACCTGTAAGTTCTTAGTCGTTAAAACTGTCGTGTATGTTTTTTTGTAGTTGCTATTTGTTGTAGTCTTTATTTAAATGAAACACGAACTTTTCTTTCTTATTAAGTATCATATACTTGTCTGAAAAATTTTATACAATTTTCAAAAATATTCCAAAAATACAGGAATGATTCACATTATGAAAATATCACAACATTATAAATATGCCAAAATTGCTATAATAAATGTAAATATTTTTAAAAATAAAGGACGGTTACATAATAATTTTACATAATATTAACTTCACTATACTTTTTCCTAAGACTTTTATTTCTTCATCTTATTGATTAGGTAGTTTACTATCGACGGGTAGGCTTTTTACAGTGAGACCTGAAAATAAACATAACACACATAAAGCACAGCACACAAACAGCTTTTTTATCTCTCTTAATCTTCAGGTGTAAAAAAGAGACTAATAAATAATTAAAAAGGCGGATGTTTATGGGCGACATCGTTTGCTTGCCATCAGGAGATTTGTCTGCTTGTTTGCCGCCAAAAAGATAGGCAATAGAGTGTGTATACCTTGGAGTGCACTAATCTTGCTCCATAGGCTGAGGGGGTAAAGGCGGCGGTGGGGGCGGCGGTGGTGGTGGCGGCGCCGGTGCATCATTGTTGGCAGCCTGGTTCTCCATCAGCCCCAGTTGCTCCAGCATGTCATCGTTGTCTTCCATCAGGTGAACCTGCACCAACCACGGCCGGTTACTCTGTAAACAATAATTTGAATATCCAAGACGGAAAACCGTCGACTTTGATTCATAATATGTTGGGTTTTCTACGCACGCAATTTGATAACACTACATGTTTTCTTAAAAAAAATTAAAAATTTTTCATTAGCCATTATAAGTAAATGTTTGTGAACTAATAAATCACTGTTTTTTGTTACATTAAATTGGTTTTTATAGTGATTTTAAAAGCCCTGTGATTGTTAAATTAAATTTGCTTAAACTTGCTGATTTGCTTAAAACTTACTTATATTAAAAATAATCAGCAACTAATAGATTCTCATGTTAAAACAATAGATCAACGTCAGCACGAGTCAGCAGACCCGATAAAGCAGAAAAAAATAAAGCAGAAATGCGTCTTATATTTATTATTAACTAAGTAATAACAATGAATTATTATTATTATTATTTACTAGCAAATTGAATCATTCACAATAACAATGAACTGAGTTGGTGTTCGGCCACGGTCGGGGCTAGCTTGTAGCTTTAACATTTTAAATTGTTGCTATTTTTAGTGACCGTTGACAGTTATCGCTTATTCTAAGGTTCAGTATGTTGACATCAATATAATAATCGAGTTACTTTATTATCTCTGCTTTAGTCTATTTTCTTCGCACACTGTTTTATTTTTACGTATTGTGAATCAGGTTTTTATTTAGCAGTGGGCCTCTAAATAAACTGATGATCATAATAACTGATAAATTTTATGATCGACTATGTTTAATCATTAGATATTTTGATTTATTAACTGTAAATACTGAACAGCAAATTTAAAAACCCGGTATATAAGAATAGAGTATAACAAATATAGACCCTATTACTTGGCTAAGAAAATAGAACCTTAAAACATGTAAGTCTAAGTTTGTTTTCATTTATTATGTACAGAACCCAACAGCGAATAAAATTTTACTGTTGCCAACCATCGGGTTCCTCGATAGGTCTTCTATGATAAATTCTGTTTATCTATGAATAAACAATCCTATGCTGATTGCGAATTAATATAATTCGTAACAGATACTTGCATTAAAACTAATATAATTAGTAACAGATACTTAATATTAATAGTTATTATTTATTTTTAAATTGTAATGCCCACCGTCAGACTACAGATCACTAGTAAAATGTTACACAAATTACACAAAAATACATTGCATTACATAGAAATGATACGGGATGACATGTAGAAACTATATGGGGCACAGAATATGATATGATAAGACTCGACTTTGGATTGGTGCAATTATTTTCCTAGTGCAGGGTATTATCCAATACCTGGACCTACAGATGACATAGCGGGTTACTGAAGCTACGGAATGTAACAGGAGTAGGAACGGGGTGGTTTTCAGTCAGGTAAAATCTGACACTCTCGCTTGCGTGACCCAAGGCGGGAGAAGTGATTGCATGATTTTCTCTTCACAAAAAGAGTATTTTCTGATTGTTACCTATCATGAATATGTTTTTCATGTAAATAAATGCTCCAAGAAATCTATGTCCATGCACGTGTTTATAGATACAGATATGTGAATAGAATAAATACTTTCAAAATGGTTTGTTTGTACGTATATATGTTACGGCTAATACGCGAAGTGCGGCTACACCTAGTTTTAGCAAGGTGCCCTGCGGTTTTGAATTTGAAGTCTATTGAGCGTCCTCCAAAACCATCGGGCGTCCTCGAAAACAATCGAGAGTCCTCGAAAACTATCGAGCATCCTCGAAAACTATCGAGCGTCCTCGAAAACTATCGAGCGTCCTCGAAAACTATTGTGCGTGCTCGAAAACAATCGAGCGTGCTCGAAAACCATTGAGAGTCCTCGAAAACGATCGAGCGTCCTCGAAATCTATCGAGCGTCCTCGAAAAGGATCGAGAGTCCTCGAAACCTATAGAGCGTCCTCGAAAACGATCGAGCATCCTCGAAAACTATCGAGCGTGCTCGAAAGCAATCGAGCGTCCTCGAAATCAATCGAGTGTCCTCGAAAACTATCGAGCGCGCTCGAAAACAATCGAGAGTCCTCGAAAACGATCGAGCGTCCTCGAAAACAATCGAGCGTCCTCGAAAACAATCGAGCGTCCTCGAAAACGATCGAGAGCCCTCGAAAACTGTCGAGCGTCCTCGAAAACAATCGGGAGTCTTCGAAAACTATCGAGCATTCTCGAAAACTATCGAGCATTCTCGAAAACAATCGAGCGTCCTCGAAAACAATCGAGCATCCTCAAAAACAATCGAGTGTCCTCGAAAACAATCGAGCATCCTCAAAAACAATCGAGCGTCTTCGAAATTTATCGATTGTCCTTGAAATCAATCAAGTGTCCTCGAAAACTATCGAGAGTCCTCGAAAGCTATCGAACGTCCTCAAAAACGATCGAGCGTCCTCGAACACTGGGAAAGTCGTTGGGAAACACACATTGGGAAAGTCGTCTCTACGTCTGTCCACGTCAGGAATTTTTACTCGGACTGTATCACCGACTTTACATAGGGGAAACTTTTCATTTGATGAAGCCGTCATTTTTATAGCTTGTTTTACCAAACCTCCCTGTGCGCCTTTCCTGTTAGTGTCAATTTTTAGTTTCTTTTCACACAACTTACATTTTTTTTCCTCATTCTGATCACAGAGCCTGCAACATGTCATTTCGATTTCTTTCTGGCAACTTCCTGGTGTTGGTTGGTTGGCTCATTCTCTTTTGATAGTTCATTTCTTTTAGTAGCTTCGTTACTCTCATCATCAACTAACTCTCTAAGAATTTTCTCAAGATCTTCCTCACTTTCTGTATTTGCAAGGACTTCAGGTGGTAGATCTGATGATTTCAGCCCGACCTTTACATCAGAACCGAACATTGCCTGGTACGGCGATCTTTTAATTCAGTGATGGTAAGCTCTATTTTTCATTAGCTGAATAAATCGTAAGCTTCTGACCATTTTTGGCAGTTCACGTCAGCCATCCAAATCATAAGCATTTTTTCGATGTCTTGATTGGCACGTTCAACTCGACCTTGTGACTGGCTGTGTCGTGGTTTCCCATGCACAATCTTCAAACCGGGCCACATCTGCGTCAAACTTTCCACAACTCGATTCGCGAACTCTCTGCCATTGTCGGATTGAAGTATCATCCAAAGTAAGATCCAATGATATATCAAGATATATCAAGTTATTTCTTTGATACTTCTTACTTTGTAACGGATAAAGTTGTACGAATTATTACGAATTTCGTGAGGTTGTCCTGATAAACTAGTATAAACTTGTAGTCACCATCTGGGTTTATCTGCATGTCTATCAAATCTACTTGGCAACGGCTGTTTAGCTCGCTGGATAAAATAGGCTTTACGACAAGGCCTTTCTTGGTAGATTTTTGTTTCATTTGACATGGCTTACATAAGCGAAGATATAAAAGAATCGTCTCATATATGATATATATTTGCATACTTCTTGTTAGCATCTGCAACCATTCTGTTTCTTCCGCCGTGCCAAACACACATGTATTTCATGAAGAACATCAAACAAGTCTTCATTCTTGACAAAATATTTGATATTTTCCGTGCTTGACACAGGAGAAGTTAACTTTTCGATGTCGCCAATACAACAAACATCGGGTATTAGCCGAAACATATACATTTTAAGAACATTGTACGCAAGTAGCATAATGTAAGTATACAAATAAAAATTAGGTACGTAGGTATCGCCTTTTTATCTTTAGACGTCATCACTCATCTTTCAACAATGAAATATAACAGGAGTTTAAAATAACACTGCGCAAAAAGAGTGTATTGACTTCTGTGACAAAAATATAAAGGAAGACCCACGTCACGGTGATGTAACATTTTATCACAGATGCTTAATGTTAATGGAAAGAAATCTTTTCAAATAAATAGAATATAATATATCAATATCTACCATTTATTAACTTTTTGATACTTATGAGAATAAGGCGTAGTTTGGGAAATTTCCGTTAAATTTTCGTAGCAGCTGACTACGAGATTGGCTACGGATTATCCCCGTGTGCTACGAACTTTGCAATACTGCGTTTTTAACCGTGTAGTGAGAGTGTGTGTGTGTGTGTGTGTTCTCTAGTTATTATCCAATACATCTGTTTCTTGTTAAACGAATAAGTATCTACGTCAGTTATAAAATTTTAAAGACAAAATACTTTTCTATTTGTATCAAATGGGTTCCGAAAGAAAGGCATCGATTTGGATTTCATATTTCACGATTAGAAAGGCACTTTGACAACATTTCATTTTAATCTTAGATACCTAATACACGATTGAGAGTTACTCTAAAGATACCTAAATTTAATGCAGGAGAAGGCGCATGCGCAGTCGGAACTTAAGTTATATATAGTTATATTTTATATAAAATTGTTGTAATAAAATAAATGGCTTTTTTACTAACATCAGGCAATGCAGTACGATGCTGTCCATGGCGCGCAGTCTCTGACAGAAGGATCTTCTGTCGCTTCTCCTCCATGAGCCGCTCCCGGTGTTTGTGTATGTAGTCGTACACATTCGGCAGACCCATGATCACACACGCAGACAGAGCCGACCGGTAGATGTTCATGTCTGTCGCTTCATACCTTCGAGTAAACAAAATAAAACATCGTCATTATCAGTATCCCTTATAAGAGGAGGTTTGCTAACGCCCACTTTTGGAGACCACATTTAGGTCATTAGACACACCCACTCATAAATCATCATAACACAGGCTTAATTTAGGTAATCTACTGTACAACATCGCGCGGTTTAGTCTGTTATCAAAAAAGTTGTTTGTTTCAATTGTAATACTATTGTGGCCCACATCCGGGTTTACGTTAAGTTTACACGAGCTACTTACTTTTTTTTTTTTTTTTTTTGGCATAAGCCGGTAAACGAGCAGACGGATCACCTGATGGTAAGCAATCGGCGTCGCCCATGGACACCTGGAACACCAGAGGCGTTACAAGTGCGTCACCGGCTTTTTGGGGATTAGGAGTTTGAGGTTCGTTGGGGATTCAGGGATTGGGGAGATTGAGGAAGGGGAAGGTAATTGGGCCTCCGGTAACCTCATTCACACGACGAAACACAACGCAAGCGTTGTTTCACGTCGGTTTTCTGTGAGGCCGTGGTATCACTCCGGTCGAGCCGGCCCATTCGTGCCGGCCCATTCGTGCCGAAGCATGGCTCTCCCACACTATATTCTTTGCAAAAGATTTCTTTTTTACTTATTGGCGGTTTTTGCTTAATATTTATTAAGCGTTCAAGTGGAGCTCTGTGACTATATCAGGGCTCATAAGCAAAGGTGCATGAAAATAATGCAGCACTAAGTTTTTACAATGTTTTGAATCTCATGTCATGTTGGTTTTATAAAGTCTGGAATGAGTAGGTAATTCTTAAAAGAAAAAGATCTTCCTCACATCCTGCACGATAGCGCCGCGACCGCGCACGCTGCTCATGAGCAGGAAGGAAGAACCCAGGAAGAACCCCTCTAGGGTTCGAAACTAGTAGAGCTTTTCTCAGTATAAGTATTCACGTAAGTAACCCGCGATTTTTAGTTAATTTAGTATGTCTCACCAAAATTATTATAAAAACAATTGCACGAATACTGGATTATTCTTTTAACCCGTGGTATGCCAGAACGCAGATCTACACGAGACACAATGACTTTTCTATTGTGTCTCATATACTGACATCCAAGCAGTCAAATGCCGAAAAATCCCAATAATAATTTATACGACTCGGCTGTTGAACTCGTGATTCCTTGTCGGAGATATTCAAGGACGTAAACTCTTACATGCCCCGAAAGTCTTTGATATCTAACCACCTACTTTCCACATCAATATTTTTACCATCTTATTAACTCGACTTTTCCGGGAATATATTTATTTACTCATATGTATGTAATTGAAAGATAAATGCTGCTCCTATGTAATTAGCACTAGAACTGAAAAACATGTTCACGCATCCATCACGATATATTATAGAGAGATAACCCATATACTGATCCCTCATTAACATGTGATGATGAATGTGAAGAGTTTCATCATGCGTCTCCTTCTTTACATAAACGTGAATATATTTCTGATATTTTTTGAAGTATAGAAGCTACACGTGACTCTTTCGACCCTACCAAAAATATGGTAGGAAACAATTTAGGGTCTTGTCATAAATGTAAAATTTGGTTATTATTAGCTAACAAATAGCCGCCTTATAACTTTCTAACAACAAAGTTACTGTTGAAATTAGGACCTTCACCGTCTCTTTAAAAAGTAACATAACATAACATCACGCCTATTATCCCCGAAGGGGATAATAGGGGCAGAGGTGCACATTATGCCACTGTACAATGTAACACCCACTTTTCACTATTTATGTTATGAGTCCCATGTAATAGGGGGTGAGTCTATTGTCATATACCGGGCACAATTCCAGGCTCCGTACTATTGAGAATTTTTCAAAAACCCAGTTATACTTTGTCCGACCCGGGAATCGAACCCGAGACCCCTTGCCCCGCAGTCGCACTTGCGACCACTCGGCCAACGAGGCTCTTTAAAAAGTGTTTAACGAAATTGCCTATGTCTATTCTTACTTACTTAATGTAGGTTGATTAACTAATTGTTATCTAGGTGAACATTTGATCTCTTGGCAAGCCCCTCCTGCGCGGGCGAAGCCGCTAGCAGAAAATAGTTCTATATATTTACGAAGTTATATAAAATGTTGTGAAGAACGTGATGTTATTTAGTACTTAACATGTTATGATTAGATTTGTTACAATTTCTGTCTATGTAAGTACGTAAATAAATACATAATTATCATTTTAAGGGCAGAATAGAAGCGGTTGGACCGCATCCAATGTTAAGTATCAAAAAAGTCTACGCATGCAACGATAGAATAAATAAATTGCCCCCTTTGCACTGTTAATCCATTAATTAAATATTCATAATAATGTCATAGTAAGGTATTCTACGAACACTAGCGAGTCTTTCCATCCTATAAATTCTATAGATCAATAACACTGTGAAAATAATGATCTTAATCAAATAAAGATCAGAACTCACCACTCATTGGTCCTTTCGTCGTAGCACTCGACATGGTATATGGTGGTGACGCCATTGAACCCTCCTATAGCGAAGATCATGTCATCGATGACTTCTATAGCGAAGTTGCTGCGAGGATTGTACATGTCAGGTACTGGCGACCAGGTGTTCGCGGCGGGGTCGTACACCTCGCCACTACACATTCGAGAGATACCGTTGAAACCTCCAATTACGTAGATCTAGGAAGAGAAGAAGAAAAAATGTAACGTGGCATTTGACCATACACCATTCGGCATATGTAATGCCGAGTAAAGAATGGATAAGTTTAAATAAGTCTAGGAAAGGTTTAAAAGCGGTACGCAGTTTCCGGGGTCAGCTGGCTAGTTACGAATAACAGTAGAAGCTCAAGACAAGTTGCGATGGACAACTACTGTAGACGCTCTCTGCCCCGTCTAGATATAGGATATTAAGTTAAGTAATATCAAAAATAGACATAGACCCACACAAAAGTGACTCTAGACAAGTGTGTCTAGACTCTACTTGTCTAGACTCTAGACAAGTGTGTCTAGAGTCACTTGTATGTAGCGAATTATGATGATCATTGTGAAAGTAAGTAAATGCTTTTACCTAGTTTGTCGGTTCAAGACTTTGTGCTACTAGTGACAATTTTGGCACTTATGCTCTGTCCGACTCTCTGTCCGACTTGAAATCTATTTCCTTAGTTGTGCTCCGCTTAGTTGTGCTTGGCACGCGCCTCAGAGCCATCAGACCACCACAGATGGGGCTAGAGTAGGGCTGACGCTCAATACGGAGCCGCAGAAGGCCTAACGGGTTTCCGGGGCTTCGGCTCGAAGTGCAGGAGTAGGAACGGGGCGGTTTTTAGTCAGTAAGTGTCTGACACTCCCTCTCGCCTAACCCAAGGCCGGAGAAGTCATTGGATGATTTTCCCCCCTCAAAAAGTTGTGCTTGCTACTAAAGAATCAGTTAGTCGCGGGTGGCATATGTTTTTCTACATAAGTATAATAAATAATAATATATGTAGAGATTACAGAATATTATATATTACAGAAGATAACAAACAACAAGGATGGGAAAAACATAAATACATAATTAACTTGATTGTTGGTAGTAGTTATATTTTTGTAAAGAATTAATGACTTTAAATACTCATTGCACAAACATTAATGAATTAGAATTCTGACACATCATAAAGTAGGCATAGGTTACATACACTTTATGATGTGTCATCTAGGTGATGGGATGAAAGTGTAGGCACTTTTATCATCAACATTCCGGATTCATTCTAGAAGGAACTAGAAATCACTTCACAATACTGAAACGGTAATCTGAATTGAGATAGTGTGATAAATCGACCATTAATTTTTTGTTAATAATATCGTCGCGGCGCGCGGCGTAATATTTTGACCTACGCTGATCCTGACACGATATCGTTCGTTTACGATTTTGAGTTCATAACTTGAATATGTGATCAATATTATTGTTCTTAAATGTATCTAACTATGTATGATTTGTTTATCTACGCAATTGTGGGCATAGGGACATTTTATTACGTAATTCAGTAGAGCTCGTTAGAGTTACTATGTAAATATATATGATACAGCAAACTGTGGTATATGTTGTCGAGATTTGACGTTTATGTTTTTTTGTTTGTTCTCAGGGTACAAATACCGTCATCAGTAGTCACTACATCAACAAAGAACACTCGACGTGTGACATAAGTATTAAGTATGTCTCTGGTTGATGAGCCGGACAAAGTGCTATTAAGCTTACTTATAAATACTAACAATAAGATTACAAGCAATAATACCTAAATACCTTGTTGTGGTAAGCGATACATGAGACGCCGGACCGGCGGGACCGCATGGGCGCCAGGTTCGTCCACTGATTCGTATCTGGATCGTACACCTCCACGCTGTTCATGCACTCCTGGCCATTGAAACCTCCCGTAATGTATATCTTATCTGAAATAAAATGAATTTGTGCTAATTTGTATGAATATTTGGTAACACACAACAAAATACAGAGAGCCACATTTTCAGCGGCTCCAGCTGCTTACGCTTCCGTGTCTTTACATATATGAGGTAGCCATTTTTGTTAAAGCAAACCTACACTTATAAGCCCATCCAAAGAGCACACGACACAAACACGAAATATGCATAACACCTCATAAAAAAGCCATATTTAATAACAAAATTTTGGGTATGGTACCCAAAATATATAATAAGTTACCAAAAACTATAACCAATGTCAGCAGTGTAGACGAGTTCAAAAGGTCCCTACAAGTACACCTGGTATCAAAATGTTACTACTCTATCAAGGAATTTCTAGATGAAAGATGACTGCCTGCTGGATCCGATTTGCATTGGTGGCATTGTTTTGATTTATATAGGAACAACGAAGTTATCAGTAAAAGTTTTAGTATGTTGTAGGTACCCAATGACTAGGTCATATGTCATAAACAAAAATGTACTGTTTCACGTTCATCTTGACATCCACTAATGATTAATATATCAAACTTTCATCAATGACATTATCTATATTTTTATATATGTACATTCGTGACTATTGTAATAATTTATGTGAATGAAATTAATATTAATGACGTTAATTACTCAAACTAAATTTTTAACTAAATTTGTATGTGACATATCACAAAACATGTCAAAATTTTACCATGAAATGTTACACCCATGTTTACAAATAAATATTTCCATTTTCAATTTTAGGTAATATGCAATTACGCATACATGTCATTTACGCCTAATAACAATCGTGTGTTACATCGCCAGCTTCAATAATATGGACACACTCCGCAGTCTATGAAGACAGTCCTTCATCCGAAATAATTGGAATAACTTTAACCGCATAGGAAAAACCAAAACAATATTGATGATATTTTTTAATTTTTTTACAGATCTAAATCCAGACACCAGAACAGATTATTATGATGTTAATCTTATGTACAGACATAAGACAAATTTACTGCAATTTGCCATTTAATATGAACCACTGCGCAGTTTGCCTGGTCTATAGAACTTCTTGTAACTAGTTAAATCTAGAATTATAAAGTTCCTGCTAATTAACACGGATGCTAATTGGACATTTTAATTGTTGTGTAATTTTTATCGTCCAATTGTTGAAACGCGACCGACTTAATTAAGAAATACAATTTTAATATAATTTTACAGCCTTGAATTAGGTACACTTTCTATTCTTAAACAGTGATATTTCGGAACGCCAAAATGTGGCTTGCTTGACTCGCAACAATCCTTCTTTGTAACTCTTCTGGTGCTACGAGTGTTCATACGTGGCGCTGTTTGCAACTATCAGGTGATCCATCTGCTCGTCTACACTCTTAGAACAACTTTAAACATAGCACACAACATATCACCCTTTTAAACTATTTTGTTGAAAGTAATAAAGTATAACTTACTGTCTAGAGCCGCTGCGCTTGCGTCTGATCGTTGCGCGTTCATGGGTGCGACGAGCGACCACTGGTTGGTGCGGTGGTTGAACCTCTCCGCCGTGTTCTGGCGGTGGTGGCCGTCGTACCCGCCCATCGCGTATATTGTCTCTCCCAGCACCGCCACAGACACGTAACAACGACGTGCATTCATTGGTGCTACCTGGATAAGACGTACAAAAAGCAAAAGACATATTTTCAAACATATCTTTTTGGGTATTTGGGTAGTGTGGCGACACATGTCACATATCAACGTATAACGTCATAAAAATCCTACATCGCACATGCGAAGTTTACAATCGAATTAACACGGATAGAAAACCCCAACGAACAACTGTTGGGCAGAAAGCCCGCCAGGCATGATCACCTCGCCTGGTCGGAGGATCCTGCTTTTCCGATCTTAGGGAACTATACTCTCTGTTCCCTAAAGTGTCTACTTTTGGCCCCATATAGGCAGGCAAGTAGGGGGAAATATGGCCGAATTTTCATCATTTTGGGGAGAAAAACTCATCAGCACTTTTATATACACCACTAACATAACTGCTAACAACTGAGAATCTACTGTTTGCAAGAAAATGTACCTACTCCATTGATCCAGAACTGTCTTACGTATCAGATATGATATACAATTTTTGTCTATAGATTCAAATTAACTAATATTCTTCATAAGGATTCAAGTAAGTATTTATTAAAGTACTTTATCAAAATTATAACTGAATTATCAAACATAAAACATTTTCAAGGTCATAAAACACCTCATATTCGCAGTCTTACCTCACGCCAAGACTTGGAAACCGCGTCAAAACATCGACACGAGTTGAAATAGTCCATTCCATCGAAGCCACCGATCACGTATATGCAGTAACCTAAAACAGCTGTGCCGTGGTATGCTCGCGGACCCGCGGGGTCCACCTCTTCAACCTAACGAGAAGGAAATGATTTAACAAACAATTGAAATATAGCATAAACTCTGTAATTGCCTCATTGACAAAGTTACCGTTATTGATTCTTGGGTAGGGCAATATAGTAGCTTAGAAATACTTATACCAAGGATAGGAATTAATCACATAAACTATGGAAGTGAGTGCTGCAGCTGTATATGTCAATCTTTTGTTCTTAAACTGTCAAACACCAAGCGGTCACCGGTGACCGCAACCTATTGTTCTATAATTGTGTCTACAAAACCGGTACTCGACGAGTTAAGGAAATAATAGAGCTAACCTTTATCCACCGATCAGCTCTCGTGTCGTATGTTTCAATAAAAGCTGTTGGGGATCCTCCACTCCATCCACCGATTGCAAATAGAACCTGGAGCAAAATACGGCAATTAGTTCTTTTATATAAATAGGTCCATAGCCATTGAGGTTTGAATTGGTGAACCAACGACTTTTTCTTAAATTTTTATATTTTAGCTATCTATTTTAACGACAAAAATATCTTTGCATACGTTTCAGTATTGGAAGAAAAATAAAACATTAGTTTTTATACGCATGATATTGATGAGTCGTAAAACACATAGATCGTAATAACTTTCTCATTACCCTTTCTTCTTCTTCGGATTCTCTTCTTTTAAAGAACCTAGGAATATATTTATCTACGATAGTGCGATTAATTCGAAAATGATATCTACTATAAATGCAAGGCAAAAAATGGAAAGAAAAACAGCGTTACTTCGTGTGGGACTCTAGGGCGAGCAATCTCCGGCGTGGCGACTTCACCGTCTCTCTGAGCAATCATCTCCAAGTCGTATAGGAACTTTAAAGTTTCAATAATAATTGGCCGTGAACCTTCGTTGCCAGTTACGTATGGGTGGTCTTTAACGTTTTCTAAGAAAAACTGAAATAGAGATAGCATTATAGCGAGGTTTGGCTGTACTATAATTAATAATTCACAATAGCCACGAGAATCTTTCGAAACTACAAAATCAGAAGTTCAGGATTCAATTATAACATTCCTTTTGGCTTCACCTTAGTTTGGTAAAAACCTGATAATAGTTTTACCGATTCAGGACACAAACACTGAAAGAAAATGATTATACTTGTGTATCCAGTAGTCCGAGTCGTATGCTGCCCATCAGTTTGACGGTGTGCTGCCAACGACTATCTGGATCATAATTGACCCAGCGAAGCACCGCTTCCCAGACCACTTCCTCGCTCTTAACGTTAAGTTCATCTTCTAGTATTATAGAGTTGAGTTCTTCGAGAGGCAGGTGGAGGAACTCATCGCTTTGAGTCGCTACTGTCACGAAATAACGCAACAAATAACGTCTAGCATCCGCCTCGAGCTTATAACAAAACACACGTCTGAAAAACAGAAAACTAATAAAACAACATGTTGATAAATTATCCTTTCACGGATAGAAGACGATGTAAATAAAATTGCTTCTAACCTCGCAAACATCATAATGCCGAGACAGTTTTTAGGATTGAGAGAGGCTCTCAGATGGTCGCAGCACAGCTGCAGCACACCGAGGAAGGCGAGGTAGTCCGCGGTCATGAGCAACTCGTGAACATTCGCGTCGGTGACCTCGATGCGGCGCAGGTACGCATACTCAATTAGCAGCAGCAGGATTTCGGACCGAACGCCCGATATCAGCACGTCGCTTTGTTCGCGAGAGTGCAACGTTGTTGTAAATAGTGCCCTGTTACAATGCCACTCTTACAATTTCAATTTTAGAAAATATTAAGTCTACGGAAAAAGTTGAAAATTGAAAGTTGTAGTTGTGTGTAGATGTTTATTCCTCTAACCAGTCGGTTAGCACGAGTAATTCGGAAAATGGCATAATGAGAGGGCCAATTTGTGCATTGACCTCTCACAAAATACTTAAAAATGGTAACTTTATAAAACCTGGAAAGATACAACTATTATTAAGTCTACTTTTGGATAGATTGAGAAGGATCGTACAGGAAGTATGGGCTGCAGGCTGAGAGTATGGCACGGTGCACAGGAAAGGCGGCGCCGTCGTCTGCGCGCACTATTGCGTCGCAGAGCAACCGGCACTCGCGCAGTCGGTGCAGCGCCTGCATCGCCGCCACCGACATGCACCGTCCAGTCTCGCGACCCGCCGTCTGACCACCACGACCAAATTATTAGATAGGTACACCTACTAAAGCAACACTAAATCTATCTAACCTAAATGATTGGTCAACTTAATCGTCATTGATATTCTACTATCTCCTGCCTCCTCTTTGCAATAAATTGGCGTGACGTCGTCATTTTCAGTATCGCTTCTCAAATATTTGCTAGACAAAACGGACTGAATTATCGATGTTACCTACACCTAATCTTAAATAATCTATCCGTTTCAGTAGCCAGAGCTAAATCGGATTGTGCTTTATTATTTTGCACGTGGTTGATTTGAGCTTATAAACTTTTAGGAATTCGAAAATTTAAGAAACAAGTAGTCTTATTTTGAAATTTATGCGTTACGAAGGCGGTGTAATAGAAATCGAAAAGCGAATCCGTTATATTTTTTCGTAGACTTGTGTGGATCCCTCCGTCGCAGCCGTGGAGAGGCGCTGCTGCACTCTCGCTTGCTCGACATCAGTACTTACTGTGTTATTCGGGTCGTTTTCCATTTCAGTGTGACTTTAACGCAAAGTCATCATTATTAAATTGTCACGCTTTAAAAAAATCTTAAGTGCAAAATGGACGTGTCACGACACAATCGAGATTTAGCTCAACAAATTTATAAAAATAACCGTAAAAAATAACTCAAAATAGCAGAATCAAGTCATTTGATAAAACATTTTAGGTTAGCAAAAAAATGATATAAGAATGACAATCATGTCACACCTTTTTTTTCCAGATGACATTACTGGACAATAGTATTTTCATTGTCAGCGGTTGTCGTGCTGCAGTCAAAAACGTTTATACTGTTACTTTTTCAGTAGATAAAGGCGTCCACGTGTTCATGAAGTTGTTCACTTTAAGGTTTTGTGTCAGACATTGAACGAAAAAAAGCAAATTGAACATTTTGTTTTTATTAAGTAAATAATTATTTCAAAGTGCTGTCACAGTTCGTATCATCACACAACATTATTATTATAACAGTTTTGTACACGTTTCTCTATTAGCATATCTACTTAGACATATTCTAAAAACAATCTTAAAATTAACAATATTTATATTATTTACAAAAAAAAGGAAACATTAGCATTAAAAACTAGGTTGAACACATTTGCAATGTCTTTAGGCCCCAAAATTCGACTGTATATCACAGAGATTTGTGGGCTGTGTCCGGAAACGAGTACGAAAATACTTTTGAGGTTCAGTTGAGTGGAGTCGTAGTTTCTTTCGCGTGGATTCCGTCAGCTCTTAGTCGCGATAATAGTGACTTGTAGACTACTGGTGAAAATGGGAGCACCACACCACGCTCTTGAATTTCACCTAAAAATAAAAAAAAATGTATTTAAGAAAAACTTTAAGACCATGAGAATTGAGAAGAATATTGGTAAGGTGGATCATTTGTCACTTCAACAATTGTGCCTTTACTTCGACTTCCTTCTACTGGAAGAGAATCGCCTCGGTTCATATAATTCTAACTTAAGGAACCATCGTTTCAGCCAAATTTGGAATGACTATTTGTAAAACACGCAAATATCACTCACGATATTATGTTACTATGCAATAACAATAAGTAAAGGTTTAGTATCTTACCATCAAGCACCATTTTGGCAGCGATGCCGGTGGGTAGGCCTACGGTCCAGGCCATGGCGGTATGTTTGCTGGGATCTCCTCGCACGGTCATCGTGACTTCCCTTCGTTCACGTTTGCCATCACTCCAAGTCACGCCCAGCTCGTGACGAAGTACCACCAGGTCAGTCTCATCTTTTTCTGTAAAGGAGACAGAGGATATTTTTTATATGATTCACTTGAAAAGATTTTCGAAAAAAATAATATTCCTAATATAAGTAAGCGATGTTATGTACATTTACTTTCTTAGTTAGGCTTATTAGTTATCATAGTCTATTTGTCACTTGGTCAAGTAGAGAACCTAAAAAACGGAAGAACAAGAGAGAGAGAGAGAGAGAGAGAGAGAGAGAGAGAGAGAGAGTATAGAAAATTCCACTTACGTAATTGTAATTTCTTGCTAAGATAATGGCTGACAGTGTCGAGAGGTGTGCCGCACTTGACGATCTCGACATCATCTAGAAGACCAAGGGACTCCAGTGACTGAGCTCCCGAAGGTCCGATGCGTTCTGATAACCTCGTCCTCAGGTTCTCGAAGAATATTGAAGAGTCCACCAGCCCAAGGAGCTCGCAGGCAAATTGACGCTGCATGAATACATTATTGTCAATTTTAACAAAAGTAAAAGAGAAAGCAAATATATTGCCAAGGTATAAAATATTTATATTATTATCAATTTACAACTTCGTAAATAGATCTAATTATAAAAAAAACAAGAGATAGTTTGTGTTTGTGGTTTTTACACACCCATGTGATCTTAGGTCCATCAGGATGCAGGGACGTGTGAGGGTTGGGATCCACCAGACCAAACAGCTGCATCGCTATCATGTTCTCTGCAAAACCTGGAATTTAATAAATTACGTTTTATTATTACCACGAATTAGATTAGAGCATTATATTATGTACATCGACTGTAAAGTTGAGTACAGAATGATATGAACAACGTCTCGTTCGTAGTTTCTGCGTATTGTGATGTTAATGTTACCAATTTAAAGTATGCATTTACTAATGTCTATAAATATGTGTTACCTTTGTATCTAATAGTTCCTCTGAACATGGTGTGAGCATCTTCAATCCCGTACAGTTTGGAGTACATGGTGCTGTCTCTGTTGGGGAACCCTTCAAACGCGAAGCCAGGCAGGAAGTTCAGGTCGCGAGCCACTGACATCAGTTCTCCACCACTCAACACTTCCACGATCTGAGGAGCAAAAATTTAAAGAACTACTTATATCAAGTAATGACTAAGCATTACTTCAAATAATAAAATATAAACTGCGTTTAAAAAACTGACTTCAAAAAACCAAAAACTAATAACAAACAAAAAGTCAAAACTTAAAAGCAAAAAATAACTATTATTAGTACTGATAGGTTACCCACCCACTGATAGGTAAGAAGTCGGTGCCATAAGTTCCATACAAAATTATTCATTAAAACCTTAACCTAATTCACAATTTTGTGGACATTAAGATAAATCATTATGATATATACCCTATATAGAGGTATACCCTTTCAAACAAAACAAGAATTTTGGAAATCGGTTCACAAATGGCGGAGTACTGCGCGAACAAACAAAAAAAAACAATCAGCCGAACATAGTACCTCCTTTTTTGAAGTCGGTAAAAAAGGACAATTGTAAACAGAGTCCTACATAAATTATTCATTCTGAGCAATCTGGGCAGGAATTAATAATACGGGATACTCCAAATTGCCAGTTGCTTATCCATTGTGCTAGCTATGTCTGTAATCGTTCTTATTCTCACCTGTCCTTTACTGAGATACTTGGCACCAGAGATTGTGTTGAGGAGCACTCCTCGGGGGTTCCATGAGAACTTATATCTTAGGGCATTGTCACTGAACTCGGGAGCTGGCAAACCTGTAAATCGATTAACAAGGTGTTCATTTTAGTGTTACTTAACCTTATATAAACGCTGTACGATCATATTTTCATTGAGCAAGCTTTAATTAATTTCTATATTTTTTTACCTCTTTAAAGGCATACAGGCATATTTACTATACTTATTTATATGAATACACTAAAACATACAACTAACATTCTATACCTTTAACGTAATTAGCTAATTTTTTGCGATCAGCGAGGCTATTCTGTTATTGTCAATTTGAACTTTCAAAGTGAGCTCGACCGGATTGGTCGAAATCATTCTCAAAACCAATGACATGACGGACTGCGATAGAATTCACTTCGATCTTTCGAATTGAAAGTTACAGAATAGCCTAGCAGTAAGAAGAAATTCAATATGTCTAATTTGTTTATGCACGAGTTTAGAAAAAAATAGTTTTTGATATACAAAAAGCAATTTTAAATGGAGTAGAGTATCAAGGATTTCCTTACCTCCACAGTATGATACGAATGAGTCGATTCTTCCTCCATGGTTCTGTATATCGTGGATACATTCAAGTGCGAGCAAGTGGTCGATGCCTGGGTCCAGACCGACCTCGTTGAGGAGTGTAATACCAGCATCTTTGGCACTATAATATAAATGTTTTAATAATTATAATATCACCGTGTCACACAATTTATGCCCTAAAGTGGTTTATTAGCACCTTAGAGAAACTGTGACCACAGGATCAATGAAAAAGTAAATTACGATTATTGTTCAACAGAAAATAAGCTACGTAATAGGATAGGGACAAACAAGAAAGATATTCTATTCAATAAAACTTACGCTTTGTGCAGTTCCTGTACTTCAGGTCTGACGTAGGACGCGGTGACCATGTGTGCGCCTGCGCTAAGGCAGGCCTTCGCCACCGTCCCGTGGAGGTCGTAGGGCAGGAGGGACACCACTACTCGGGCGCGAGACGCCAAGGACCTTAATGCAGACTCGTCCTTAGCATCCAAATACTCTGAGGAAACTCCATAACGTTCTGCTAGAGCATCCGCTTCTTCTTTTACTGCTGAGGCTGCAAAATTAATATTAAAGCGTTATAATAACGTAGCTTTCATAAAATTGATAGACGGATAGATAGAGTTGTGGACGTCACCAATGTGAACGATCGAAATAACGAACGAATTGTTAACAACAAACAGAGTTTAGAGAAGTTAAACTAAATAAGAAATTTTAAGAAACCACGAAACCAATACAATCATACAAACCTACTGTAACAGCAATATTTTTGTCTCTAGCCAGATATTCCACCACGGGAGCTGACACCAGACCGCTGCCGAGGATTAAGATAGGCGTCTGTTGCTCATTGCCTTCCACCTTATGTCGGGAACGTCTGAAAATTATGAGAACTTAGTTTCTTAGTATACAATCCAACAAGACGAAAAAGTATGTTTTCAAGTCCAAAGTTAATCTGAAATGTTGACAAAAAAATTCTTACTATATATTATTCTTTGGTGGCCAAAAATATCTAAAAGATATCTGATAGGCCCAGGCCACACCAGAGCGAAGGTTAAATTCTATTGAAGGACAAAACTGCAAGTGCGACCACTTGTATTCGGTTTCTTGTTTTAACAAAATTACTCCGTTAAAACCGCCACGGATCCGCTATCGGCTATGGCGCGGCTGGGGCGATAGAAAGTCGTATGTATGTATGTACATCTATGTTTTGTATTACTCAGAATGAAACCTCAAAAACTAGATATGTTTAAGTGTGGGAAAATGCTTCGGCACGAATGGGCCGGCTCGACCCGAGTGATACCACAGCCTCACAGAAAACCGACGTGAAGCAACGCTTGCGTTGTGTTTCGTCGTGTGAGTGAGGTTACCGGAGGCCCAATTACCCTCCCCTTCCCCAAAATCCGCAATTCCTGAATCCCCAACGATTCTCAAACTCCTAATCCCCAAAAGGCCGGTAACGCACTTGTAACGCCTCTGGTGTTCCAGGTGCCCATGGGCGATGCCGATTGCTTACCATCAGGTGATCCATCTGCTCGTTTATGCCATTAAAAAATGAAGCCTCAGATTAAAACCTTTGTTTGGAGTAAAATCTCCTCAACCTATTTACGGTTTTACCAAGCGACGAAGCAAGTTTTCTAATAAAGCTAAGCTAAGAAGACTAAGTTTTCAGTACAATACTTACGTGTTTGCCATT